ATATATATATATATATATATATATATCCATAGCAATTTTTAAAAAAATCTATTTTATTAACAACAACTTCACAATCACATTTATACAGAAATGTAGCTTCCCCTAATAAACCCTAAAACTCAACTTCAGAGCTGACTAACTTCATCACCTAAAACTTGAGAGCTAACTTGACTAGGAAAATAGTAATAGTTTATAGATTGATTTTAATGTCAAAACTAAATATAAATTGACCTTACAAGACAATTCCATAGTAGACTAGAAAGCTAAATTCAATGAGCTTTAAATGAAATTAAATGAGTTTGATACCTTACACTTCTAAGGTTCAAGATGTCAAGGAAACATTTTTTTTTTCTCGTAGGTGATTTACATACATATCATAAAATTTTTATGTATATATATATATCTAACATTTAATCTTTATATTTAATTGTAAAATATTAATATTTTTAAATTACATAAAAAAATAATAGTAAAATTAACTTATTTAAGATAAAACAAACTTTTTCATACATATGTTTAAATTAAATTTAAACAGTAAGTTATATATAAAAAATATATAAAAATTTAAACATTGGATATGTAAATAAATTAAAAATTTGTAAAATATATGTAAACACTCCTTTCTTTGGCTTTGTTTGGCATAACTTTCTTATTACTTTTTAAAACAACTTTTTAGTACAAAAACTTTTTGAACTAAAAATTTTTATACTAAAAAGATGCATTAGAAAATAGTAAGAAAGTTATCTATATTTTGATTATAAAGCAATATAATAGTTCTAACTTCAAAATAGTAATAACATTATGAATTCATTTGAAACGGCTTTCTTAATGCTTCTTACAACAACGTTCTAGTAAAGCTATTTTAAGAGTGCTCTTTCCAAGAAATTTCACGCATCAAATACTCCTTTTGCTTCTAAAATAATGTAAGTTCTTTATAGGAAGAGTTATAGGAAATGCTCATCACCGTTCATTTGCATTGAGATGTCTGTTTTCGTTGATGTAAGTCTCTATCAATGAAGAAATTATTGTGTGCGGAATCCAAACGTGTTCGAAAGCGAATCTGAGCATGCCACGTCACCAGAGCCCAATGCATCCGGTGACATGGCGCATCCGGATTCGTCTCCAAATATATTCGGATTCCGCACACAATAATTTCTCCTATCAATGAGAAGCGAGTGAGGGCTTGTGATTATGTGTATATAATGAAAAAAAAAATGCACAGTTCTAAGACATTAATGTCCATGCATTCCTTCCCAACTCCCTTGTTTTATGCGAGCAGTTTTTCCACAGGAAATGACAAAAGAAATTAATTCGCAATTGTTCACCTCAACACCTCCATTATTATTTATATATTTTGTATGGAAATATAGCTGAAGTGGTCCTAACTTCTAAACATGATTTCAATAAAGGCCATTATGATACAGCATTTGAAGTCTTCCAAGTAATGGCCTGAATAATTATGCTACAGGAAAGTTTGCCGTTATATAATGATTTTCCTGTAGTGATGAACAGATACAAGAGAAAAAAGAGTTATGAATAAGTCACATATCTATTTAAAATTTTATTTTGGGACAGTTTTTTTACCACTAATTTTTAAATACATTCAAGAAATTTTTATGCTACAAAGTTGTTTTAGAAAGCTGTTAGAAAACTATCCCAAACAAAGCGTAAGACTTCGGTTTCGTTGGGACGGCTTTCTTACTACTTCTTAAATCAGTTTCTTAGTACTGTTGCGTCCTGAAATATTCACGGCAGTAGAGAAATATATATTTTAACGTCATAGCGTTGTACGAAGATCTAGGACACAAGCATATGAAAGAGAGAAGATGCATCATTTATAAGAGACATTAGAGTTTTTATATGGAAACCCCTGAAAAAGGGGAAAAACAACGGGATCTGTCCCAGTTTGAAAGAATCAACTAGTATTTGCAGTTGATTACAAATGAGGCCCTTCCTTAGGAGAAGGTCTTGGCTTGATGTCACAAATGTACATCATATATAGTGCATTACATTGTGAGAGTTACAATAATCAACATGGACATATTTGTTTGGTTGGCAAAACCATAGTTGATAGAACAGAGGTCAAAAAAGACTGTAATCGGTAGGAGACTGGGATAAGAAAGACAATTGTCTGGCTAGGGAGGTCGGAAGGACCGTAGTAGGCGACGAAGGTCAGAAGGATATATCGTAGTCTGCAAGAGACTGTGATCAGAAAGACCGTTGTCTTGTGAGGTAGGTTGGAAGGACCGTAGTAGTAGGGTGGTACTCCGACAGAACTCTAGGCGTCAGGTGGTGGTATGAAAGAAGTCTAGGTCTCAAGTATTTGTCTAGCAGCACTCCAGTGTGAGGCGGTGGTCCGACAGTGGCACTTCAACTTCAGGGGGCACTCCAACTTCCGGTGGCACTTTGACGTCCTTGGATGGTCTGATGGTGGTGCGGCAGAACTCCGGTGGTGGTGCGATAGAACTCTGACGGTGGTCGAGGAGGAGCTAGGCGGCTGGAGCTTTCTTCCTTCTTCTCTCTTGGCTCCCCCCCAACCCGACCGTAGTAGGCGTTAGAGGTCGGCAGGAGACTGTAGTCGGAAAGACCGTTGTCTAGCGAGGGAGGTCGGAAGAACCATAGTAGGTGACGGAGGTCGGAAGAATATATCGTAGTCTGCAAGAGACTGGGATCAGAAATACCGTTGTCTTGTGAGGTAGGTTGGAAGGACCGTAGTAGTAGGGTGGTACTCCGACAGAACTCCAGGCATCAGGTGGTGGTATGGCAGAAGTCTAGGCCTCAAGTCTTGGTCTGGCAGCACTCCAGTGTGAGGCGGTGGTCTGGCAGTGGCACTTCATCTTCAGGGGGCACTCCGACTTCCGGTGGCACTTTGACGTCGGATTGGATTGATTTTGGTGTCATTGGGTTCGTGTTTCCAAGGCGCTCAGTTCAACTATAAGTTTGCAGAAATCAGAGTTCATATGGTCTCAATTTTAATTCTTGAAGCTTCCAACTTGATTTTACTTCAAGATTTGTGCTTGATCAATATAATTTTTTGATGATGTATCAAGTACAAAAAAATAAAATTTTTGTACTAAAAATTGTTTTGAGAAGTAGTTTGCAAAAATCAGAGATCATATGATCTCAATTTTAATTCTTGAAGCTTCCAACTTGATTTTGCTTCAAGATTTGTGCCTGATCAAGATAATTTTTTTATGATGTATCAAGTACAAAAGATTAAAATTTTTGTATTAAAAAATTATTTTGAGAAGTAGCAATAAAGCCGTGTCAAACTAAATTTCATTTGTAACAGCTTTCTTATTTTGTTTTTCAAATATCTATTATAATTTTTGTTTGGTAATTATTTTTTCACTGTTTTTAAAAATGATTTGAACAAAAAAATTGGTTTCTGCAATAATTTTAAAATATTACTTTACATGCAACAACATTACAAAACAGTAAGAAAGCTATCTCAAACCAAGCCAAAGTCTTCAAATCAAGCCAATTCAATTAGTGTTTTTTTTTTTTCATTATTTCTTTCCTTCACTGTATATACGAAATGAGCATATTATATTTAACTTATGTTAAGAAAGGTAGAGGTAGACCTAGTTTTTGTTCGTTTTCCATTGGATTTGTGGTGTTTTCCCGCTATTTTCGTCAATTTTGTTAGGATTTACTTGAGATCTTCAAGTATTTCCTATCAGGCACCCAAAAGCAAAATTCTCGGGGCCCACATATATTAGAATTTTTTAGTTAAAATCAAGCCAATGAGAGGCATCCAACTAAGAAATAGATGCTTATAAATATCAACGCCTAAGACGACGACATCAATATCAACATCATCAACAACAACAACAACAAGCTTCTATCAATACCTAAGATAAATAAAATTAATTTTTGGTTCAATAAAAATCTTAGATATTTTTTCAATCTTGAGAATGATTATTGAATGTTGGATTCCTTGGTTGTGGTGCAAGTGCAATAATCACTTTCTGGGGGTATGTCATCTCTTTGTATTGTCATGAGACCTAACTTTTCTCTTCATGAATTCTTTCCTTGTTCTATTTTCTTTTAAATATTTCTTCTTCTTTTTTTAAATTTAGCAAGCATTCTTGAATTTCATCAAATCTGATGCAAACTGAGTTTTTAGATTGTGGTGTTATTCTTATCATTATTTTTTTTATTTAAATAATGGTTATATTATCATTTAGTTTAGATTTACCATATTTATTACCTCACATCAAAATAAAACAAGTTATTGCCGACATTGTTGGCCTTCTAAACAGTGTATTTTTTATATGAGTTATTTTATTTTCACACATCAAATTGACATTATAAATCATATTATTATCAAAGCTTAAGGTTGATCATTTTGTCAACTAGAAATTCTAAATTTAATTGAACTAGTTTTTTTTTAAGTACAATTTAAACAAAATTGGGTATGTTTTAATTCTAGACAATTATATCGTGCTTGACAAGACGCTCAAAGTTACGAAAAATTATTACGTGCAGTGTCTGGACACTTCCGGAAGCCAGCCAATCAGGACGTGCCACGTCACCCAATACACAATGTATTGGATGACATGAGGTGTCTGGATTGACCTACAGACACATTCGGAGACCGTACAGAATAATCTCTCGAAACCCTACTTTCAATGGAAAATACGTACAATCTAATGAAATTTTCAAACTAGATCGATAATTTGGAAGACTTTGGAATATTACAATATGAATGATTCCCATGGAGTTGAATTTGCTAAATCAAAAATAGTGGGACATCCTCAATTATTTTGATGAAATATTGTTAAGTCTACACAATTAATATGAAACATAAATTTGAAAATTAATTTTTATCATCCAATGAATATAAGGACCAACTTCATGAATATTTTAACAACAATAAATAAAGTGACTATAAAGTATTTGAATAAACACTAAACATTTAGTAACAATCCTCTGACTGAACGTAGAGCTACGTCCGATCAGAGGACGTAATAAAAGTTCCTTCTAAACAGTGTATTTTTATATGATTTATGTGTTTTCACACATCAAATTGACATTATAAATCATATTATTATCAAAGCTTAAGGTTGATCATTTTGTCGACTAGAAATTCTAAATTTAATTGAACTACTTTTTTTTTAAAGTACAATTTAAACAAAATTGGTTATGTTTTAATTCTAGACAATTATATCGTGCTTGACAAGACACTTAAAGTTACAAAAAATTATTACAAGTGGTGTCCGGACACGTCCGAAGGCCAATCCGGGCATGTCATGTCACCCAATGCATTGGATAACATGACGCATCCGGATTGACCTCGGGACGAGTTCGAACAACACAGAATAATCTCTCGAAAATTACAACCCTACTTTCAACGGAAAATACGTACAATCTAATGAAATTTTAAACTCGAACGATAATTTGGAAGAATTTAGAATATTACCATATGAATGATTCCCATGGAGTTGAATTTGCTAAATCAAAAATAGTGGGACATCCTCAATTATTTTGATGAAATATTGTTAAGTCTACACAATTAATATGAAACATAAATTTGAAAATTAATTTTTATCATCCAATGAATATAAGGACCAACTTCATGAATATTTTAACAACAATAAATAAAGTGACTATAAAGTATTTGAATAAACACTAAACATTTATAGATCTTATACAAGACAATGCACATATCCGACACAACATGCGTCTCTGTTGAAAGCATAAAACACATCATAGTTTCCAAAAAAAAAAAAAATCAAAACTTACAGAAAACCCACTATAAAATTTCATTGAAGAGAATAATTTACAAATATAGTTTTTGACATATCTTATTGATTTAACATATGAATTTAAACACACTGACCAAAACAAGACCTGACAAGTACAGAAAGGAATGAATCATTGTTACAATACAACATGAACAAATACATACAGGCTTAGATAATCAATCTTGTATTTTCGGGTTAACTGTAAAACCTGTTACTACCTGTCAGGTTGCAGCTGAAACAGCAAGATGATGGATCTGAAACCATCAGAATTTAAAAAAACCAACGGTCAAAAGTCTTACATTATTTCCCGTTCTTCTTTCAATTGAAAAACTGCAATTGGCCGATGCACATTGTTTAATGGGTCTGATCTTCCATGAATATTCTGAGGTTTAGAGCTATTAGAAGCAGCAGCCGCGGTGCTGTGGCTGCTATTCCGAGCAGCTGGGACATCATGATTATGTTTCCCTTCGTAAGTTGTTATGACTGCTTTGGGATCTTTTGATGCCCTCTCAACATGTTTGCGAACACTGCATCCTGCGTTGGTGCACTTGTAATAACTCCTGCAAATTATAGCCAGATTTAGCAGTTTTTTTATCTACTTTTTCAATCATGGATGAAATAGCATCAACATGTTACATTTATAATCTGGACAAGGACTATAAAGTAGGTTTAAAACTTAAGGTTTCGCTTGGGACGGCTTTCTTCCTGCTTCGCAAAGCAGTTTTCTAGTAAAAAAATAATTTTTTTATACTAAAAAACTGCTTTGCGAAGTAGAAAGAAAGTCGTCCCAAACGAACTTCTATGCGAAAAATTGGCCAAGCTGAGAGAGATAATTTGGCATCATCTCCAAGGACATTCAATTATCTTTGAAATTCCCGCTAATAAATAACTTACACCATACACATAATACTTGCTAAAAAATTAAATGAAGGAAAAAAGACCTTGGATGAGGATTGCCTTTAACCACTTTTTGCCCATATTTGCGCCATCTATAGCCATCATCCAGGAGATCCACTTCGCTTGTTGTCTGCACAATGATCCTTGCTTCTGTTACTGTTCTATGAGAAGCTGACTCAATTAACTTGGTTTCCAGGTTCCTACCAGGAAAAAAAAACCGTTATTTTCCTCAGCAACTCAAGTAAAATAGATGGAATCAACGTTTTTAGCCATAAAATCAAACCTTTTCTTCTGGTCAGATTCACCATAATCTCTTTCATCCATTCCTTCATGATCACCAACTTCCTCACCATCACTAGAACCAGATAACTGATCATAGGCAACATTTCCGGATTCACGGTCTCTCTTAGATAAACCAGTGATAGCATTACCTTGCGAATGGGATTCCGAATTGGTAAGAAATCCAATGTGCCCATTTAACTCAGCTGAACCATTTGGCATGTTAGCTTCTTTTCCTCGTTTATTTGATGGAGGCTTCTGGTGGTTATGTTTTCCCTTATAGATTATCTCGGTCACTTGGCCATCCACAGAACGCTCAACCTTTTTCTTTACAGGACAATTTGGCTGGGTACATTTGTAATAACTCCTGGGATATTCACTTCCCTTCACTTGTTTCTGCCCGTATTTCCGCCAATTGTAGCCATCATCGACAGGTTTATCGACAACAATAGGCACTGGAAAAGGTACTTGATCAGAATGAGAGGCACTAGCAACCTCAGAGCAATAAGCGTTTGAATCCAAAGTTGTGGCTGGCATATGTAGGACTTTTGGCATCTTAACTGTAGGGAATGACCGCGACAACGAGGCTGAGAAAAGAGAGGATGGATTTTCCGACTGCAAATGCATTTGCAGTTGAGAATGGGAAGCTTGTTGATGTGCCAATCCAAGTTGCCCCTGCATCTATCCGCATTCAACGATGTCAAATTATGTCATGAATCAAAAAGAACAAATATGACTCTTGAGAAAATTAATGGCATGAGAGTAGGGGTGTGAGTCGAGATGGCTCGAGCTCGAGCTCGAGCTCATTTATTAAATGAGCTCAAATTCGAGCTTCATTAGGTTCGGCTCGCGAGTTCGCGAGCCGGCTTGAAATTATTAAATCCGAAAATTTTTAAAAAATTAGTACTACATGCTGTATAAACCACACTCCTGCCTATAGTTTAAATTCCCGGGGCATATATTTCTAGAATTCAAAGTGAATCTCAATTGTTTTCCTCTCTCACTCTCTCTTCTCTCTCTGACAACAATAAATGCAAATAACTCTCTCTGACATAACCCAGAAAAGCTGCCCTCTCCCTTTCTCTCTCTCTCTCTCCCTCTCACTCTCTCTCTTTCTCTGTGCAGTTATAATTTTTAAAAAACTGCCCTCTCTCTCTATCTCTCTATGTAGTTTTAACTTTAAAAAAACTGCACGCATGAAGCCAAAACTGACCACACAGAAGGATCCACATGTGGCTCGACGAGCGGCTTGTACTCGTTTAAATTGGAACGAGTTGAGCTCAAGCTAGATTTTTTAGCTCGAGCTCGGTATTTGACAGTGGAGCTTGACTCGAACATCCCCCGACTCCAGCTCGACTCAACGTTTACACCCCTACATGAGAGTACTCTATCATTCACATATTACAAGTGCAAGTCTATTGATCAAGATTAGGAGTACCACAACAGCTAACAAAATTTTGTAGGGAACAATATATTTTATTGTATCATAAATTTCAATAAAAGAAAATCAACTTCAAATAATTGATATAAGGCTGGCGAGATGATGATGACAACAAATTTTATATGTATATGTATGCATGCTTGTAAATTTTATTAGCATACCACTGAAATATTTAAAATTAATGATGTATTGCCCTAATCTTCTAATTCATGCTATTATACATACAACCTTAACCTCACAAAGTAAATGCTATTGATGAATATTGAACAAAGAAATTCAAATTATAAGGAAAAAAAGACATCTAAAAACTAGATTCTTTATTTTATTCTTTATATTATTAACGGGGGATAGGATTCGTTTGGGACGACTTTCTTACTGCTTTTTAAAGCAGCTTCCTAGTACAAATTTTTTTATTTTTTTACTAAAAAGTGCTTTAAGAAGCAATAAGAAAGCCATCCCAAACAAAGTCTTAATCCATTAACTTTAGTTTCAAAGTTCTTCTCAACTTCCCTGTAGAAAACTGAAGCTCATAAAGCCAGGCAGCATCATAATTCTATACAGAGACCAACAACTTCATGAATAAAATCAAAGGCCAACAATCAGAACAGCACAAACAAGGCACCTTTAATTCTGTACAAATCCTTCGAGCCCTTAGAAGTCCTATCAGGAACAAAACATTCTGTAACTCTGCAATCTACATAACCAGTAAACCAGGCTGATAATTATTTTCAAAAAGTTAGAACTAATTCAAATTTTAATCAACTCAAATTTGAAATTGATTTTACTTGATATTAGTTTTTATATATAATAAAAGAACATGTAAATCATATCTAAACTTCTAAAAAAAATAAATAAAAAATAGAATATAATCTCAATTTCAAAATTCTGGTGAAGTTAAATGGGTTATCGTTATCCAAAAGTGATTATTTTTACTTGAAACAATCCAAAATAAAAAATCTTCAAATTAAGGTCGGCTTTATCCAGGTCAGATCAGTAGGACCTGTACCGACTACCATTAAAGCAAGAGTAGAAAGAAAAAAGGTAAAACATTTAAGATTGAGAGTTTAAAAAGAAACCCACCAAATTAGACGAAAAGATAGCAGGGAAATCAAGCAGGCCTCCAGGACTTAAATCCGACTGCGCCATGAAAAACGGCGACTGCCCCGCCAACAAATTCATCGCCTGGCTTTGCCCTAAATTCAAACCGCCTCCTCTTCCTCTCCCTTCCCCCGTCGCCGCTTCCGCCGTCGTCCTCGTCTCCGGCAACGTAATCGCGCCGGCGAGTAACTGCGAGAAAGAACGACAGTCGGATTCAGGATCCTCGGAGAAGAAACTCGAAACCAAGTTCATCGGATTAGGGCTTGCTTCCGCAGGCTCAAGGCGGAAGAGGCTTTCATCGCTGGGACGCGGAGGAAGAGAAATTGAAGGCCTTTTCGCTTCTGTATGACCTGTAGCTTCTGTTCTGATGTTTTCCGCCATTGAATTGCGGTAAAGGAACCTGAGGAGTTAAGCCATGACTGGGTGGATGAGGAAAAATCCAATTTTTTTTCCCGCTTTTGTTCCCTTTTACTGTGTTTGGGGTTTTTGTATTGATTTTGCTTTGGAAGGTTTTGCGTAGTTCTGTTTTGGATTGATTTGAGGTTTTTGGAGGGAGGGAAAAGGTTGGAACTTGGAACAAGTCGACGTTGTGGAAATTCGGAAGAGAGAGAGAACGGGAAGGACAGAGAGAGAAAGATAACTCCCTCCAAATTACTTCTTTTGCAAATTGGAGCGTTGACTAAATGCAGCCAGTAGGTTATTTGTTGGAATTTGGAAATAAACTGACTCTTTTTTCTTCTTCTCTTTCTTTATTGAAAAAACAATACCAGAAGAATGAAAATACTTGTTCAGCTACAGTACTTAGTAGTCCAATTCAAGGTCTTTGGCCAGTTGGGTCAATGGGTCATTGGGTCCTACCTGTTAGTCACTCTCAATCAAATCTTTTCACAGCTACATATGCTTGGTTGGCTGAAAGCTGCATGAAGAAGATAGGAGGATGGAAGATCGTCTCACTTTGATTATCTAAGATAATATCATTGATGCTTTGGGTGAGAAGAAAGTCAAATCTGTCGAACAATTTTCGCCGTGAATATTGACACAAAACAAACACCACCAAAATTTAAGATATTGGTAAGGTTTTGCTTGGGACTGCTTTCTTACTGCTTCTTAAAACAACTTTTTAGTACCAAAATTTAAATTTTTATACTAGAAAGCTGCTTTAAGAAGTAACAAGAAAGCTATTACAAACAAAGCCTAAGTCACTTAAAATTTGTTAAGCTATTTTTGACGTAATGTTTGGGCTGCAAGTCACTTGAATAATTCTTCGCTCTAGAACTCTCTTCTAGATCAATATGATAGATGTTTAAAATATCAAACTGGTTGTTGAAGCGCCAATTTTAGATAGGATTAAGATTTCGTTTGGGACAACTTTCTTACTGCTTTTTAAAGCAACTTTACAGTACAATAAAATTATTTTAAGAAGCAGTAAAAATAACAGCTCAGACGGCAACTAAGCGGAAGTTGACTCACTCCTTGATTGAGTTGTTGGAACTCATTAAGATCCACATCAACATCAAAAAAATATATTTGGGTGGTCTCTTATCATGAGTTTTGAGGAGTGTTAAAGAAATTCTTGTAACCTAATTTTCACCATCATTGATTGAGAAGCCCCATTTTAAGCAAAATAACACCCCAAGATTGAAGAATACCACCTTATGACTCATCTAAGGTACAGATTGAAGGCCATCTGATTTTGCAAATCTAAGAGCATATGCCATTGATAATTCCAAATGTAGAGTTATCATGAACAATTCACTGCCCAATTTAGGCTTCGTTTGGGACGATTTTTTCATTGCTTTTTAAAGCAACTCTCTAGCATAAAATTTTTAATTTTTGTATTAGAAAGCGGTTTTAAAAAGCAGTAAAAAAGTCATCCCAAACAAAGTCTTAATTTGAACATGAGGTCTTCATAATGTACACACTTGACTTCATATTTGCCTTAGGCTAATTTAGTAATTATTATTCTCAACTCAATTTTTTTTTTTTTCATATTTCTTCTTCCAGAAATGAAATACTTCTCATTGTTTCGTATACAAAAAACTTTATGTGCTATCAACTGTGAACTGATTTGGTGGCCGGTCCGATAAAGCCTATAGAACCGATTATGCATCAAACTGGATTGAACCGGCGGTTCAACTGGTGAACCGCTAAATCGGTTCGAGCTTGAAAGAATCAGTCGATTTAAAAAAAAAAAAAACATTTAAACAACATATTTTAGTTATTAAATTATTTTATACTTTCATTAAATGATGATTAATTTCACCATATTATATACAAGTTATCTTAAATAACTCATATAATTTGTTTAGCAAGAAGAGTACTTCACACTTTATAAATGGTTCAAAGCAACATCCTCAAACTCCTCATATGATGTGGGACTAAAACAGTTGTATGAATAGTTTAGATGTGAATTTGAACTTATTTGGGCATGTTGCACTTTAAATTTAGGCTTAGTTTGACTACAAAATTAAGCAATATGTATTATAAATTTGATATAACATATATTATATGAATTATAATATAAAATTTTATTATTATAAATTTATATATTATTTTAAATATTATTTTTATAAATATAACATGCTAACTTAGTATATATTCGAGATAACTCCAATATTTCAAAAAATTAATTGTGAAATTACTATCGAGAAAGATTAACTGTTATGATTACAAAAGGCAACTTTTTATCACAAAAATTTTAAAATAATCTTGAGTTAATCAAAATAGATCCTTAGGCTTCATTTGAAACGACTTTCTTACTGCTTTTTAAAACAATTTTCTAATATAAAAAATAAAATTTTTGTACAAGAAAGCTGCTTTAAGAAGCAATACAAAAGCCTTCCCAAACAAAACCATTGTTCGGGACATCTTTCTTACTACTTTATGAAGCAATTTTTTAGTACAATTTTTTTTAGATTAAAAATTTTTAAAATAGAAAATTATTTCATAAAAAAAATAAGAATGTTGTCCAAAACAAAACTTTAAACATCACAAAAGTTTGATCAAGAGCACAATTTCAATTATTTAAATGCAAAATTATAATTATTTGAAGAGATGTCCATTGCATTCCTCTAAGCTGATAAATAAATATTGATACCCAGTCATTTTTTGATATATCATATATTTATTATTTAATACATAGCATCAAATATGCCATATAAAAAACACTTAAATTATGAGCGGGAAAACCATTGTTGAATAACTCATTTATTCTCATTGGTTAAATAATCCAAAAATACTAAGATATAAAATATAAATAAATATATTTACAGGGGCTTAAAGGGAATCGAATAAAAGGATAAACCACATCACACCGCGTATAATTCGATGGCAGCCATGGCCAAAATTAGCCTTGCCACTTCGCTCAAGTCTGAGAGAGATTATTACATGCGTAGTCAAGGACGGAGAACCGTCCAAATTTTGTGAGTGTACACAACAAATATACAGTCTTATTTTTTGTTGTAAACCCTCACAAAATACGGACAATTCTCCCATCTGAACACCACACGTAATAATTTATCCCAGTCGTGTAGGGGTTTCAATTTTGGGTCACAGGTTGGGTTCAGGTAGAACCCGACACTGTTCGGGTTCGGGTCGACTGATCCGTTTTTGCGAACGGGTCGATTTTATGGACCCGAACCCGACCCGCTTCGGGTTTGGGTCAACCCGACCCCACTTGTTTCAACCAAATCCCGCGGCAGGCAGGGCAGGGCAAACTCGAGTGCGCGACGTGTTAGGGCAAACGAGGGCAGAGGGCAGCGGGCAGCAGGGTGGCGCAAGTGCGCGAAGCAGGACTCGATGACGCCGACAATTGACGCGGGACAGCCGGGTTTATGTGTTATTCTGGGTCAATTCGGGTCATTCCCGAGTTTCCGAGTCAACCCAAACCCAACTTGGTTTTGCAAACGGGTCGATTTCCGAACCCGAACCTGACCCGCTTCAGGTTCGGGTCAACCCAAACCCGAAATTTTCGGGTCGGGTTCGGGTTGGGTTTTTGGCTCGGGTCCAATATTGACAGGTCTTCAGTCGTGCTGAGCACGCCTAAGATAAATTGAATCAAAATTCTAAAATTTATTTAAAAGCAAATGTAATACATTCTTTTTCTTTGGATAAATTTATTAAAAAAAAAATCCTTAACAATCTTTTAGGAATACAATTAAGGAATTAAAGAGGGATGGAGCAACAATTATTGTGGATTTTTGTCCTTTTATTGGCCTTCAAATAGGAATGTAGGGAAGGAGAATATAAATACATATAAAGACAAAGAAGAAAAATTAAACGCACAAGATTTTTTTTTTCTTTTTTTTTTTAACTTATTTTCCTTCCACTCACACCTCTTTGGAAGACAACGAAAAGACAGAAGTTTATAACATTTAGCTACTAAACACCTGTTATGTATATAATTTACAGCATTTGGCAGAAGAATATAAACGCTTGTTATAGTGACTTCACACTTTTTCAAATCAAGCATTCTAGAATTAGATCAACACAGCATATTGGGCTGTAAATTTAAAAAATTGCATCAAATAGATTCAAAATTTTGTTTTTTTATGTTGAAAAGGTTAAGAAGAATGAGTTGGCAAATATGAAATGATAGTTTTACCCCTGAAGCATAGATTATTGATGAAAACAAAGCTTGAATGGATAGGCTGCCAAATGCTAAAATATCACTAAAAACAGAACAGATGACATATTAGGGAAAAGTATTGAAGTGCAAACCTGGAGAAGTGGAGGACTTAGTACACTCGGGTCTCGAGGAAGTACGTCGATGATACGGCTAAGCCATCCATGTCGTAGGTGCGAACAAGTCTCTGCCGCTTCTCCGGCGACTCGATCCAGCAGAGCTCTAAATGGAAGGATTGTGATTGGGAAACACTCTTGGCAATGTCACAGGGGAATCCCATATACACTCCTCCAGGTAAAAGGGTCAGCTGAAAGCCTCCATCAAATTTGATTATGTTGCCTGAAACGGTTCCAGACCAATGAATGTTGGCTGTTGATCCGTTTGTGGAAGTTGAGGTTATATCCTATACATTCAATCAGAAAGTTGGAATTAAGAGAGAGAGATGCTCAAGGAATGAAATTAGTTGTTGCTTGTTGGTATACAAGCTGCCTCAAATTGTGGCCAATAAGATTTTATTTGGGACGGCTTTTTTACTACTTCTTAAAGCAGTTTTCTACTATAAAATTTTTAATTAAAAAACCGTTTTAAAAAGTAGTAAGAAAGCTATCCCAAGAAAAAAAACTCAAGTCTGATTGTTTTTGGTTATCTCCAGGACGTAGTACTCATCAGGATATTAATATTAAAAAATAAATAAATCAAGTATAGTGCAAGCATACGTGAGCGTGCAATGTAGGAGGGATTAAAGGAACAGAAAATATAGATGGAAACTGGCCAGGAGGAGAAAAGAAAGAATGCTATAATACATCCTTGACATGCAGCGCATTTCACAGATCCTTGTTTTACAAATCGTTTAATTTGATACCAAGGCGAACCATGCCACTGGTTATATCTATACATTGGGTAGTACTGCTTTAGTTAGATGACACAACTTCAAAAGATAATTATGATATAAAACACAAAAATAGAATATGTGGCAATCACTAAAGCCAATAAGAAAAAAGTTTGACTAAAGAGTTTTTTAGAAGCATTAAGTCGACCTTAAGAAGATATTACTTTATATTGTGTAGTAAAAATGTTAGTTACTTTGTAAAGCATGTCATCTATTACTCTCGGTCACATATAACTCAAGAACAATATATACACAACTTGCTTGGAGCTGATGCCTCACAACTTATCAAAATTAAAGGAGAAAAATTTTTTATTGATATGCTCGCAAAAGTGATACCTTATAAAAAATTGAGACTTTGTAAAACCTTAATTAACCCTGTGAATGATGAAATGGAGGTGCCATACAAGAAATTATTCAAATATAATTAGTAAACGAGTACATTAGAAATTCAAACTCCTAGTGGGATGTTATCAAGTGTGTAGTCAATTTTCTAATTATTCAAAATAGTGATTGTTTTTATAAAGTCCTAAATGATGACTATCACAAAGCCCTAAATAGAGGTTAACATAAAATCTTAAATGAAAGCTAAGATAAAATCTTAAATGGAGGCTACCACAAAAGTCAACAATATAGGTTACAAAAGCTATCAATGGTGGCCCAACATTAATGTTGGAAAGTGAACTCTTCTACATAAAAATGAACATAATCCTCACTAATAAAACAATCCACAATCAGAAGCAAATAAAGGAAAAAAGAAAGAGAGACGCAGAAGAAAAAAGAGAAGAGAGGAATAAGTTCTCATAGTACATAACGAAGAATGAGAAGTACTATCAACACTTTTTCTTCACATCCAACCCTCATCTTCACAACATATGGTTATATTCCCTCTTAATCGTTAATACAAACATAGTATAATATTTGTCTTCATTCATATAAATTATAATTCTCTCTTTATATACCACTTTTAAAACTTATAGTTGATCTCTATGCAATCGTAGAGGTAGGTGAGCCTTATTGAATCATATAAAATTGCCGGTCCCATGCTTGAAATCTTTTGTGCGATTTTTCTCTCATTTTCATTAAATTTTTGCTCTTATCATTATCCTAATAGATGAATTCTAAAACCTTAAAAAATGTGCTTGTAAAATGCTAAAAATTAGTTAGGCTATAATATACCTGGACTACCTGAACATTCTCATATAATTCAAGAAAAGCAACAGTGTCAGCTTCAGCAATTGTTGCGACTTGTGAAATGCTAAAAATTAGTTAGGCTATAATATACCTGGACTACCTGACCATTCTCATCTAATTCAAGAAAAGCAACAGTGTCAGCTTCGGCAATTGTTGCACCATAAACACCACTACGCTTGGTTATAGAGTGACCTTTCCATTTACCAAGGAATGGAATTATCCTGTCTGGGACATCCTGCCAAATCAATAGGACATTGCATGAGAATATAATTCAAATGAATAAGGAACTATGTTTTACTGATTTCTGATAGGTATATGATTATCATAATTCATAAGGAACAATGACCTTTTCTAATCAAACTCAATTAAAATCAGTTAAGTACAATGTCTGCCAATTCAACCAGAACTTACTTGTAAGCTGAAAGAAGAGATACTTGACGGTGCATCATCTCGTTGTTCAAGAAAAATAAGAAGCATATCAACAACACCCTTGGGGTCCATAATATGGAAAGCTCTTATTCGCATGTCTTCTTTCAGGGAGTAGAGGCAGTTCTCACAAACAACAGAAGGGAAACGAGAAGGAAGCTTCAAATTTCTATATTAGAAAAAAGATAAGACAATTTTTAACTTCGGTATCAAAATGATCAAGTCATGAATACGAATAAGTGATAGCAATAAAGGGAATTGATATCCAATTTTGAACTTCTGACAATACAAGATATATATGTATTTTATTCTGCATATATAACTAAAGGTCGAAGCCAACTTAGGAAAGCATGCTCTTTTGTAATTAAATCAAATTATTAGTAATTCTATTCTTTACATCTACCAATTAATTAGGCAAAACAATAACAGCAAATGGACCAATTCTCCAGATATCCAGCAAGCGAGACAGATATCCATTCCTTGCCCTGTTCTTGTGGCCCTAAAGAGTTGTGTTTGGAGGTGTTTGTGGAGGACAGTTTTCGAGTTTACCTAGGAGATTCCTCTCCAATGTCATCTTCACCGAGCACACCAGCACGCAATACAGTTTCCAGCATTCCGGCAGTTTGATATCTAAGAGAGAAAGCTTTTTCTGTTGGAAAAAACCCAATCTGCAGATTAATTATGGGAACTAATCAAAATAATCCCCATAAGAATCCTACAGGCAAATTGAACGAAGTTATCAATGACAATTTTAATAGATATAACGGGAGTTCAATTGTAACCTGTTGATATTTATCAACAGTGAGCATATTAGTCTCTTTAATTTTGTATTCCAACCATTCAGGTTCAGAATCATAACCCGACACCATTGTACTGGAAGGAGGCTGCTTTATGTATAACCTACATGTTGCAGAAAAAGAAACTCAATTTAGGTAAGAAAAATACGGGTAAAATATGACCTTACAAAATATAATCTGCAAATGGCAGAATTAATAAGCCAAAAACATTGCTGAAAACATGAAACAATCAAAAGAAGTAGTAATCCAGAACTAGATAAAAATAAATATAAAGCTAAGATAGAAAAAAACTGTTAAAAAAAAAGTGCACAAAGAAAAGAATTATAACCAAATAGGAAGCTGCAACTACTTAAGTAGGTTATTTAAATTGAATTATACTCAATGCAGATTCCAGTGGTGCAACTCATTAAACCTCAATTTTCATACCTCAATTAAAGCAAAAGAAGCTAGACAAAAATATGCCCAACTATTTGATGTTGGATTTATGAATCCTCAATGTACTTCTTTGCTCCTATTTATTAAGTGGTTCATTTCGAACATCTATCCATGCTACTTAGGTTTACACATTTTTCCTTCATAATTCTTTGACACTAATCTTAGCTATTTCTCTAAAGGTGTATTTTTTTCCCTTCATTGTACACACGGACAAACCACCAAAATCTACCTTCAACTACCATATATTCAATATAAACTATTCCAACTATCCTTGTAACATAATAATTTCCGACTTATCATTCAACTATCATATCCATCACACTATTTTTATTTCAACAATTGTCAACCTAATTATCAACAGTATTTTTACTACTCAACACTTAGATCTGTACAATATAGCCGACCAAATAGTAATTTTATAAAACTATCATCAAGTCTCCATGATATCTTCTTATTCATATAATGCTCCAAGCGCACATCTCTATTTTAGCCATTCACTCTTAACAGTATAAGTTATACACTTATACCATTAATCTCCAAAACAAATTCAAAATAAGTAAACATGTTACATATAAGTATCACTTATTTTCCAATAATATTTGCTGAAGTAAAACCATCAAACCCACTAAAATTAAACCCTCATATGCACAGCTTTAACAAAAGCATAAAAATGAAGCATAAAACTCTTAGGGGCTGTTTGATATCAGATTTGCGCAGAGAGTTAAGCAGGATTTAAGGTAAATTCAACCAAACAGTTTTTTGAAGTCTTGTAAATCCGAAGCTAAATCCGAGTAAGTCCACGTAAATCAAAATTCCATCATTCGGAGGATTTAATGGGATTTCCACTCGCGCAAGCTCTCTCCCGTGGGGCAGCCCATGTCGCGGAGTACCAACGAAGGTCCTTATCTACAATGACGATGCGGTTGCTTCGCTCTCATCTGCAGCCCTAGCCTCTCTGATTTCTGGTCGTCCTCGCTCAGCTGACCATTTTCCTCCACTTGGTACGCTTCTTCGGCTGCAATCCTGCGAGTAAGCATTCGTCGTCGCACTGGTATACCTCGGTCGAAAGCAAGACTTGCGAAATTAATAGTTTTTCTTTTGTTTCTTGTGTTTGAAATTAATTGTTCTGCTTCGGTTTGCTGCTGCTTGCGAAAAAAGCTGTCATGTTATACTCAAATAGTTCTTTGGAATGCCATAAATGAATGAACGCCTTTGTAATTTTTGTTCTAACGATAGCTATTATGTTATATAGCATTGTGCAACATATTGTAGGGTTGTTTTTGTTGAACTTTTGAAAATATGTATCTATTATAGTTGTGTAAGCTTACTATTTTACATGGATTATTTTATATTGCAATATTGAGGAGTTATATGAGTAATCTTGCTGTTGTAGATTATAAGCGTTAGGAAATATTATATGTAAAAAAAATATTCAACGATATTTTCATCATATGATGATACAATCTTTTCTCTATAATCCCGCCTTCAAATTGTTGTTTGCATATGGATGAAATTTGAAAATAAAAAGAATGAATTGAGTAAATCAAGTGGCTTATGATTAAATATTGTTAACTGGTTGGCGAATCTACTAGCTACTGTTAGGAAATTTTCATAATATACATTTAGCCATTATCTCATGGGCCTGATATGTATTTGAATATGCTGCAGACGAAAAAAGAGCATGATGATGAATATGAAAAAGTTGAAATGTCTTATGAGAATCCTAAATTACATGTGACAATAAGAGAAAGAATTCAGGAACAAGTGATAAGGCATGCATCGCAACAGATTTGTGGAATGCTCGGGTAAGCATTTCTCTTAGCATTTAGAATATTTCAACTTTGAATACATTTTGTAGTAATTTCATGATTTTATGGTTTCAGATATATTGCCAAAGAAATCGGTCGTCATGATGGAATTACTTTCTAATGCAAGATATATTAACTTCCCTCTCATATTGAAGTGTACTATCAAATAGTAGTCTATTAGTGTCTAGATCATTATTACTCTATCATAGTGTCATGTACTCTTTCTACATGTAGTAGTTTCTATTGTGCGAGCTTATGTTGGATTTATTATGTGGTATAGAGTTATCTTAAATTTATAACAAACTTATTGATGAAATTCAGCACAATTTCTTCATAATTAAATCTCTATGTATTAAATCCGGAAATCTATTGTCAAATAATTTCTCAAGATTTAACATTTGTCATTCCAAACAATTTTCAGGATTTAACATTCTTAAGATTTACAGGATTTACTAAATCCCGCTAAACTTAAATCCAATCCAATACCAAACTGTCCCTTAATGAATAAAAAAGGAAATAATGCTGAAAAGCGGCTCACGTTTGAATAAGACTTATTAGGTCATCCTCCCCATACGTGCTTACAGAGAGCTTCGTGCTCACACGCTGAAGCATACGCCCATTGCCATCAAATTGCTGCATGCCACAACGTACATTTGTAATATAAACATTTAAAAGCTAGTATTTCCATTTTTTTTTCTTCTTCTTCAACATAAGAGAAAGAGATGCAGGTAACTCCACACAGACGTAAAAGGAGCCATTCCACTTGCCGCTGCTAAGATCGAAGAAGCGCCTCAGTGCATCGATGCTTATCGAACCGTCGTCTCCTACCAAAATATTGGACGTCGCCGTCGATTCCGCCGCAGCCACCGAGGGAAAGCACTGCCTTCCAGAACGGCTGGACAGAAGTTGGAAGCCGAACTTTTCGGGCCGAGAAGAAATAAAGGGTTCTGTCGACGGCGGAGCAGAACTCGGCCGACTTCGTGCCCTGAAGTTCAAGAGATGCGAAGAGTGTAACAGAGTGCAGCTGGGAATTAGGGCACCGGCCATTGGAGCGAACGGGAACGAAAGAAAATGAACGAAGAGGGAGTCTTATCTGTTGGACTTGCAGTCCTCCCTTCAAATTGAAAATTGCAAATGTAGACGTATAAATATATAATTAATGTTGTCAAAAATTAACATGACATAAAAGTACAGATTCAAGTCCCAATTTTGGACTTATTTTGAATTTTGGATTAGGTTCGGGTCAACTCGGAAATTCGATTTGGACCTACCATGTGCCCATCTCACACATGCACAGCGCATGCCCAACTCGTGCACGAACGGCCAAAATGATGTGCTCACCTGCATACCCGCTGCACTTCCAGCACCCCCACGCCTCGCCTAGCTTAGTCGCTCCCACGTAGTCAATTCGGGTTAGCGAGTCGGGTTTGGGTCGAACTCGGAACTGACCCTAACTATTTGGGTCAATCTGAACCCGACCCGATTCGGGTTCGGGTCAACCCGACCCGACACGAATGACCCGAAATTGACCTAAAATTGCTAATTTTTCGGGTAAAAAATCGGGTCAATATTCGATTTTCGGGTAAAAAACAGGTCAATCTCGATCATTTTCGGGTTGCTGGGTCAACTCGAACCCGACCCGATTTTTAAAACGGGTTGATTTGCTAAACCCGAACCCAACCCGTTTCGGGTTCGGGTTGACCCTAACCCAGATTTTTCCGAGTCGTGTCAAAAATTGACACCCCTACTCCCACACCAAGCTCGACGCTCTGGCAACTTAGGCTAATTCGCCTAATTGTGTCAGGTCAACTTGATAACCCGGTGGAACTGGGTCCAATTGCAATTTCTGACTTGTTTTACGAAAACATGTTAAGTTCAACTCAAATCAAATAGTAACGGGTCAATATCTAATTTGACCCGAACTTGTCCTATAATCCATTTTGACAACCCTACACATAATGTTATCACTTATAGATATTTACAAACAATTTTACCTATGAAAAATAAATAAATAACTTCGCATATTCTCTTAAAAAAAACAGCATAATAATTTTAAATTTTATTAATAGTAATAAAAATCATTAATACTATTTGATAAAATACCTCCAACTTATATGGTTGCAAGGAAACAAAAACACTTTAATTTTACTAAGGGACTTTTAATTGACTGAAAAATAAATACAAAGAAAAAGATATAATCACAATCACTGCTATAATTTTAGCATTGAATTTATTTTACTTTGAATAAAAGATTAAAAAAATAACCCCTTAAATAAAATATAAAGTAAACAAAATAATTTTCTGGTTGAATTTTTTTAAGAATTCTATATAAATTTAATATTGATGACATAAATGACATTTATTCCTCAAAAGCTTGTTGAAAAAACCTTTTACAGCACAGGTTTCACTAAAAAACTCCCTTTGCTTTGGTAATACAATGCAAAGTAAATCAGAGCATGCTTTACATGAGAGAAAAGGTTAAATTACTATTAGATAATGTCGGTGTATTATGTGAAGGCTAAAGGTACGTCGTAATTCAAACAACCAGGGGTACACCCTTGCTGTGTCATGGAAGCTTTCCTTCATGCAGATATCGCCCATTGATAGGATTAATTATTTTAAGCGCACACCAAATGCCATTCGAAGCTCAATCAGAATGCGTCATGTCTCGGCACAACACTGCTCGGTACCCGGCTTGATACTGCTTACGCATTCTGATTGATCTCCAGACGATAAACTACGTTCAGCACCCGCATAGAATAATTTCTCCATTGATAGGGCATCAGTTCTTCAGCAACATCTTTATAGATTATCTCCACTGTGACAAAATCTTCACATCCTCACTACATTGTGCGCAACACTATGGTTTCGTTTGGGACAACTTTTTTAATGCTTCTTAAAACAACAACTTTGTAATTGTAGGTTAACCCAAAGCTAACACGATAAGTTAATTGCACAATTTCAAGGATATCGATATTACTTGGTTGCCTATCGTGGAAGTACATCTAGATGATATGTAGTTTAGCAAGAATTATTTAATCACCGATATGCCCAATTGCACAATGTGATAAAGAAGACTTTGGAAATTTGAAAGGAACTGTTTCAAGTATTTACGCACATGAGATGTAATGATGAAATTAATCTCTAATGCAAGATAGATCAACTTCCCTATCATATTGAAGTGTACTATCAAATAATAGTCTATTGGTGTCTAGATCAATATTACTCTATCATAGTATCATGTACTATTTCTAGATGTAATAGTTTCTATCGTACGAGCATATGTTGGATCTATCATGTGGTATAGAGTTATCTTGAATTTATAACGAGTTTATTGATGAAATTCAGCACAATTTCTTCATATTTAAATCTCTGTCTTAAATCCTAAAATTTGTTGCCAAATAGTTTCTCAGGATTTAACATTTGTCATTCCAAAAAGTTTTCAGGATTTAACGGTCTCAAGATTTATAGCATTTACTAAATCCCACTAAAGTTAAATCAAATCCAATACCAAACAGCCCCTTAATGAATAAAAAAAGGAAATAATGCTGAAAAGCGGCTCACGTTTGAATAAGACTTATTAGTTCATCCTCCCCATACGTGCTTACAGAGAGCTTCGTGCTCACATGCTGAAGCATACGCCCATTGCCATCAAATTGCTGCATGCCACAACGTACCTTTGTAATATAAACATTTAAAAGCTAGTATTTCCATTTTTTTTTTTTTTCTTCTTCTTCAACATAAGAGAAAGAGATGCAGGTAACTCGACACAGACGTAAAAGGAGCCGTTCCACTTGCCGATGCTAAGATCGAAGAAGCGCCTCAGTGCATCGATGCTTATCGAACCGTCGTCTCCTACCAAAACATTGGACGTCGCCGTCGATTCCGCCGCAGCAACCAAGGGAAAGCACTGCCTTCTAGAACGGCTGGACAGAAGTTGGAAGCCGAATTTTTCGGGCCGAGAGGAAATAAAGGGTTCTGTCGTCGGCAGAGCAGAACTCGGCCGATTTCGTGCCCTGAAGTTCAAGAGATGCGAAGAGTGTAACAGAGTGCAGCTCGGAATTAGGGCACCGGCCATTGGAGCGAACGGGAACGAAAGAGGATGAACGTAGTCTTATCTATTGGATTTAAGCTAAATCCAGCCAAACGGTTTTCGGGGGATCATCTAAATCCCAAGCTTGCATAAATCGGCCTAAATTCAAATCCTACAATATTGCCAAAAGGATTTAGTCCAATCTGTTGTGAAACAGTTTCTCATGATTTAATATTTATCATACTAAATAGATTTCATGATTTAACAACATCATAATTTACTAAATAAGAATTTACAGGATCTACTAAATCCTACTAACTTAAATCCAATCCAATACCAAACAGCCCCTAAGGGTGTCAAAAATTGATATGGCACAAAAATATGGCTCAAATTTGATCTGAATTTTTCCAGTTAAGATCAATCGGTTTTAAGAATAGGTTGGCTACGGATCTCATTTTTTGACATGTTTAACATTTCAGGTTAGGTTTGGATCAACTCGAAAGATGATTTGAACCTACTATGTGCCCATCTCACACACGCACCACATCACGCATGCCCAACTCGCCCATGAATAACCAAAATGCTACCCCCCTCGCATAGCCCACCCACTCACTGCTCGCATGCCCAGCACCCTAGGGCTCAGCCCTTGCCTCAAGCGTCTCACCTTGCTCCCGCGCATCTCACCTAGCTCAATCGCTCCCACACCATGCGTGACGCTTTGGCAACCAAGACTAGATCCGCCTAACCAAGCTGGGTCAGCCCGATAACTCGGCGAGGGTTGGTCCGATTGCAATTTCTAACCCGTTTATAAAAAAAGATCTGATTCAGGTCAAATCAAACAGTAACGTGCCAATATTTGATTCAACCCGAACCTGACCCATAACCCATTTTTAATACCCCTACATAAAATGTTATCACTTGCAAATATTTACAAACAGTTTTACCTATGGAAAAAAATAAATAAAACTTCGCATATTCTCCCAAAACAATAACATAATAATTTTAAATTTTATTAATATTAAAAAAATCATTAATATTATTTGATAAATACCTCCAACTTATATGGTTGCAAGGTAAACAAAAACACTTTAAATTTTTATGTTAAATTTCTTTTTTAGCATTGCCATGCACATATGAGTTCCCAGGAGGCTAAAGGCATATAGGATATTAATAATTGACTCACAATCAAATACATCTTATGGGTCTCAAATACGGCAAATTATTGTATCCGGTCACCGGACACGGAGATAGGTCCGAATATTAATAAAATATTATTTTAAATTAAGCGCATCAAAAGTGCAGGTAAAGCACAATCAAAGCACAGTTAAAAGCGCAGTAAAAAATGTTGGTAAAACACAGTTAAAGCGCACCTAAAGCGCAGGTGACATGACATGTTTTTATTGGATATCTGAACCTATTCTGTTCGTCCGATGACCGGATACAGCCCAAGAAGTTTTTTAGCCGGAGCCAAATTATACCTAAAGATCGGTTAAGCCAATTTGGCACCCCAATAATTCTACTAAGTGACTATTTAATTGACTTAAAAATAAATACAAAGAAAAAAGAAATAATCACAAATTCACAATCACTGCTATAATTTTAGCATTGAATTTATTTTACTTTGAATAAAAGATTAAAAAAATAACCCCTTAAATAAAATATAAAGTAAACAAAATAATTTTCTGGTTGAATTTTTTTAAGAATTCTATATAAATTTAATATTGATGACATAAATGACATTTATTCCTCAAAAGCTTGTTGAAAAAACCTTTTACAGCACAGGTTTCACTAAAAAACTCCCTTTGCTTTGGTAATACAATGCAAAGTAAATCAGAGCATGCTTTACATGAGAGAAAAGGTAAAATTACTATTAGATAATGTCGGTGTATTATGTGAAGGCTAAAGGTACGTCGTAATTCAAACAACCAGGGGTACACCCCTGCTGTGTCATGGAAGCTTTCCTTCATGCAGATATCGCCCGTTGATAGGATTAATTATTTTAAGCGGACACCAAATGCCATTCGAAGCTCAATCAGAATGCGTCATGTCTCGGCACAACACTGCTCGGTACCCGGCTTGATACTGCTGACGCATTCTGATTGATCTCCAGACGATAAACTACGTTCAGCATCCGCATAGAATAATTTCTCCATTGATAGGGCATCAGTTCTTCAGCAACATCTTTATAGATTATCTCCACTGTGACAAAATCTTCACATCCTCACTACATTGTGCGCAACACTATGGTTTCGTTTGGGACAACTTTTTTAATGCTTCTTAAAACAACTTTTTAATATACAAATTTAAATTATTCTACCAGAAAAATGCTACAAGAAGCAATAAGAAAACCGCCCCAAATGAATTCTATGATGATATCTTTACTCATGACAATCACAATCACTTTCATCTCTTTATACACAGATCTCTTACCACTAACTGTACTAAGTTACATTTACCCAATAGTCACTCCCAACTCCAGAAATATAAAACTAAAAAAAAAACTCATTAAATCAAAATGATTATGAATAAACACAATAAAACAATTAGTGAAAAAAAAACCATACGTATAAGATAACTAGACAAGAAGCTCATCATATTATTAGCACCATTGATACCCAGAACGAAAGACCAAAAGCTATATAACAAGTGACAAATTGCATTTAGAGGACTAGTTATAAAAAAAAAGTATGTAAATTTCATCTTATAGCAATCAGCTCTTTTTGTATAAAATAACCATTGCATGCAACATGAAAACTCTCATGCATCACACAATAAAACATAACAAAAGAAAAAAAAAAGGAATTAGAGGCACAATTCAAGTAGGCCAAGCAGATGGGGAAGTTTAGATAACCAGGAATAATAGATCGAAGGATTCTACCATCCCATTATAACTCATCATAAATTTGTTTGCAACCAAAATACGCAGAAGAAAGTGCAATTATTTGGGGCCAATGTCCTTGAGCGCACAGATCTGTTCTTCCCCCATAGCAGACATCACAGTCACCACAAGATCTTTACCCTCCGCAAAACCGTCTTTGATCTATATGTTCATAAAATCATGTAAAACTGAATTCAGATATTGAGTAAATATGTCGGGAAATAAGTCTTATATATCAAATGTAAAATTCAATCAAAATAAATGACCAGCTTTTAAACATATAATGCATCATATAGCACATTGAATGAAGTAGATTTAGGCTTCGTTTGGGACGGCTTTCTTCTTGCTTTCTGAAACAGATTTTCAGCATAATTTTTTTTTTGGATTTTAAAATTTTTACTAGAAAGTCGTTTTAAAAAATAGTACGAAAGCTGTCCCAAACGAAATTTTAGACGCTAAAACTTGTGCTTCGTTTGGGACAGCTTTTTTATTGCTTCTTAAAGCTGCTTTCTCGTACAAAAATTAAGAATTTTGTACTAAAAAGATGCTTTAAGAAGCAGTAAGAAAGCTGTCCCAAACAAAGCCTTAGAAGTGCTGAAGGTATACATATGAATAAATAAGAGGGCAAATCTACTTTTCAAGGTTCCCAAAAGATGCCATGGAAACGACAAAAGTTTCTTAAGAATGCTGGTCAATCAATTTAAAACTAGAAAAGTGCTAAGATGACACTGCATCTGGATAACAAAAAAATAGAGTACAGAAAATAAACTTGTCAAGCACCCAGAGCTATGCTGTAGGAAAATAAAAATCTCTCAATAATGATGATCCAATCCAGAATCCAATACTAAATACAAAATAAAACAGATGATTAAAAGCATTGTACAAGAATTATTGTTTAACCAAATAAAGTGACTGACTGAAACTAGAACTGTCACGGTTTTGTTAGGAAATATTTGAAATTCTCAAATAAAACTTAACCATCTTGATGAAATCAGCAAGAATGATTGACAAATCCAAAGAAAAAATCAGAAAAATAGTAATTTTATTGCGATAATCAAACTAACGGAAGAAAAATAACAACAAGATACAATTGATCCTCTAATCGAGAGGAAGATCTATCTCTCCCAAATCGGTGTCGCCAGAGCCCAAAAACCTAAACAGAAGAGATCTCAAATTTCAACTGAATTCAAGATGTCCTAACCCTAACAAAACATACTACTTAATTATTAAAATTCAAAAGGAAATCTTTAAACAGCCCCTATTTTGAAATTTCCCTCCTAATTCACTCAAAAATCCTTCCTAAACAGCTCTTTCATGTCGGGGCGATAGGATGAGGCGGAACTTCCGACTATTTTGTATGCAAGCTGGTCCTATCTGGACCGGCTAGACCGGTCCACAGATTTCTCCATTTGATCTCTATCAGTGAATGCACGAAAGCATTTGCATATCTAATATCTCCAGCCAAAATCCTTTTGTTTTTTTCTTATCATCTTTATAATTAATTTGTTTAAAGGGTTCATTTGATTGCCAGTAAATAGAAAACATATTTAAGAAAATAATGATTTAGTTTTTACTCATTTTTATTGGAAAAAAAATAAATCATCCTTTAGGGGAGTTTTGAGAAGGTTTGAAAAGTTCAAAATCAAATTACACCCAAATAATTTTGAATTTAACAAAGTTCATTGCTTTTTCAAAACTTGATTCCCAACTTCAAGCAACTAAGTGAGCCCCAACTTGATTTTTCCTCAACAACATCGAAAGAAAATCCAACCACCATTGCAGCCTTTTACTTGTAATGGTTTCCTACATCAAGATCAATAAAAAAAAATTATAGCTGCTCACAATCAAAGCTATGTGATTTTTTAAGAAATATTTTCTTGAGTGCACAAAGAAATTACTTGATATGCCAAAAAATGCATGCAATCAAATAAAAATGAGCAAACGAAGGAAGGAAGCCAAACTAATGAATTATAGAGCCACTAAAAGATTGCCGAGCAAGTAATATCATCAATTGTGTTTTCAGAAAAAAAAAAGATCCAGAAAGCCCCAGTCAAATAAAAAGGTAACGAACAACTTTATCAAATAAAATTCCATACAACACCTGAGCAAGCAGATTATCATCAGTTGGGAGCCTAAGGTCATCCTTAGTGCTTCCATTCTCAGTAAGAAGGCTCAACTATCATATAAAACACGATATCAGGTGCACATAAAATAAGAATTGAAGTAACAGTACATATGAAATAGTTAAAAAGCATACAAATCCATCCTCAGATATATCAATAAGCTGATAATCAGTGCGGTTAACATGGGGCACCTGCGAAAATAAGCTAATTAACATTAGGAGATTCATAGCTAAACAAACAAACATTTACCATGTTGGCGTTTGGAAGAAAGATAAACAAAAAATGAACCTACATCACAGTTGTGAGAAGAGGGCACAATATCCTCGAGCTTTTTCTGGTTGAAGATATCAATCGCAACAAAGTGGCATTTTGCATGACCATGCTTTCCGGTCTTGGAGGTTGAAACTTCAACAACCTAGTGCAAAACAATATAAAATCAGCACCTTAAATCACTATAAAATCACACGAATTAGAAACAAGAAACCAACCAGAGTTTTTGCAAATAACTTCAACAAACGTAAATCGAACGCCGCACCTCATAAACAATTTTGAAAGTACAATAGAACAACTGCTCAAAGTTGAGTAGCTTAAAAATTAAGACGAGATCAAACAATCAACAATCCCTCCCAAAAGTTTTTAGCACCTAGAAATGTGCTGACCTAAAAGTGGCCAAGATGGGTCTCAAAAACCATTAGATCCATTTTGAGATAAGTGCCACATTAATTACTATGTATTGAGATAATATTACCTATGTATTGCACTTATCTCAAAATAGGTCCAAGAGCCTTGAGATCCATTAATATAACAATTTTGATCACAATATCAGGATCCAATTTTTAATAAATAGAGTACTGATATTCCATCAACATCAACATCAACATCAATCACTACCATCTTATAGAATTTTCCCTTAAGTTTGAGGGGTACATTTCTATCACATAACAAGCCCGATGCATTCCTCCACTTCAACCATCCAACTTGAATTCTGCTGATAATATCCCCATCTATTTCACCATCACTTTGAACAATTGATCCAAGATATCTAAAACGTGTACTCTTATTAATGACTTGATCGCTCAAAGTCACAATCCCCTCACTAGGTCTATTACTACTAAAATTACACTCCATATATTCCGTTTTAGATCTACTCAAGCGAAAACCTTTAGACTCTAAGGTTGACCTCCATAATTCAAGTTTACCTTCAACTCCCTCTCTAGTCTTATCAACAAGAAGAATATCATCAGCAAAAAGCATACACCAAGGTACATCCTCTTGCAAATGTCTAGTGAGAACATCCATGACTAAAGTAAAAAGATATGGGCTTAAGGCTGATCCTTGATGTAACCCAACCGAAATAGGGAAATACTTGGTCAATCCACCTTGTGTTTGAACACAAGTAATAGCTCCTGCATACATATCTTTAATGATTTGAATATAAGCATTATTGACTCCTTTCTTTTCAAGAACTCTCCATAGCTCTTCTCTTGGAACTTTATCATATGCTTTTTCTAAATCAATAAATATCATATGTAGATTCTCCTTATTTTCTTTATATTTCTCCATCAAACCTCTTAATAAATGTATGGCTTCCATAGTCGACTTACCCGGCATGAATCCAAATTGATTTTGAGAAACATTAGTATCATGCCGCAACCTATGCTCCATAACTCACTCCCATAGTTTTAAAGTATGACATATTAACTTAATACCTCTATAATTCGCACAATCTTGTGCATCACCTTTATTCTTAAAAATAGGGATTAACACACTCAATCTCCACTCATCTGGCTTCTTTTTAGTCTTCAAAATAGTATTAAAAAGTTTAGTAAGCCATGAAATTCCTTCATCTCCTAAGCATTTACACACCTCTATTTCAGGTCCAACAGCTTTTTCACCCTTCATTTTCTTTAAAGCCTCTCTAACTTCAGTTTTACTAATACGCCGATAAAAACAAAAATCTTTATTTTCATTTAGAGTGCTAAGATCACTATAGTCAATCTTATTTTTACAATCTTCATTAAAAAGTTTAGCAAAATATCTCATCCACCTTTGTTGAATATCATCTTCTAAGAAAAGTATTTTTTGATCTTCATCCTTAATATACTTCACTTGAACTAAATCCTTACTACTCCTATCTCTTTGTTTGGCTAACTTACACATATATTTTTCTCCCTCTTTAGTATCTAATCTATTATATAAATCACTAAAACCTAATGTATTTGCATCGCATATTACTTTCTTAGCATCCTTACGAGCCACTTTATATATTTCTCAATTATTAGAATTTTTAAAATTAAACCCATCATTTTAAAAAAATCCCAAACATTCATTTAATAAAAACAATTTACTCTATCATTTGAAATTATACTTTAATACAAGGTTATATTTTTTATTATTATATATTACATAATATAACAACAACAATATCAAGCCTTTATCCTACTATGTGGGGTCGGCTACATGAATATTTTTTCTCCATTGTGCTTTGTTAAGAGTCAAATTCTCATTTAAATCTAATAAAAAAAATGTCATTTCTAATATTTTCTAACCAAGTCTTCTTAGGTCCATCTCTACCTTCCTTAACATAAGTCAAATTTAATAGATCTACTCTCCTAACCGGGTCATCGTAAGGCTACCGTTTTATGTGACCAAACCATCTAAAGTGACTCTCCCTAGTCTTATTGGCCACTAGAGCTACTCCAACCTTTTCACGTATATACTCATTTCGTATCTTGTCTCTAAGAATAAAGCCACTCATCCACCTAAGCATCTTCATTTCTGCAACATTTAACATAATATATTATGTTTCTCTTAATGGCCAACATTCCGCACTATAAACCATTGCAGGTCTCACCACTATCTTATAGAATTTTTCCTTAAGTTTGAGGGGTATTTTTCTATCACATAATAAGCTTGATGCATTCCTCCACTTCAACCATCCAACTTGAATTCTACTCATAATATCCCCATCAATTTCATCATTAATATGAACAATAGACCTAAGATATCTAAAATGTGTACTCTTCTTAATGACTTGATCGCCCAAAGTCACAATTCCCCACTAGATATATTATTACTAAAATTACACTATGTATTGGGTTTTAGATCTACTCAAACGAAAGCCTTTAGACTATACGGTTGACCTCCCATAATTCAAGTTTATCTTCAACTCTCTCTAGTAGAATCAATATGAAGAATATCATCAGCAAAAAGAATACACTATGGTACATCCTCTTGCAAATGTCTATTTAAGGACATCCATGACTAAAGCAAAAAGATATGAGCTTAAGGATGATCCTAAATGTAATCAAACTGAAATAGGAAAATACTTGGTCAAACCACCTTGTGTTTGAACACAAGTAATAGCTCTTGCATTCCTTAATGACTTGAATATAAGCATTATTAATTCATTTCTTTTCTAGAAGTCTCTATAGCACTTCTATTGAAACTTTTTCCTTTTACTTTCTCTGAATCAATAAATATCATATATAAATCCTTCTTATTCTCTATATACTTCTCCATCAAACCTCTCAATAAATGTAAGCAAATAAAAATTTTCTAATTCCAACAATTTTATATTTAGAGGTTGTTTGGTTGGCTAAAATGAATGTAGTGTAAAAGAAATACTTTGGAGCCGTTTGGATGAGTGTGAAGTAAATTCTAAGTGAATTTTTTTTGTTTGATTTGATGTGAAATGAATATAGTGTAAAGTATAAGGATAGTGGCGACTGATGGGCGGCGGCCAACGGTGGTTGTTGATGAAGGTGATAGCCAACGGCAGTGATGACTAGAGGTGGTGGCCGGCAAAGGTGACGGCCAATCGTGGTGGCTGATGGAGGTGGTGGCCAGCGGCTACCGACGACGGCCAGCTGCGAATCGTGGAAGAGCTAATTTGTGTCACCAAACTCAGAGTTTGTCTTTGTAGACCCACGAGGCACAAGTGATCCATATTTTAGAAAAATTACTATCAATTATTGGCAACATTTTGAAACCAAACCAAACTGGTCTGTTCAACCGTGAAGCAGCCAGATTACTGGTCTAGTTAACTTCAAAAACCACATTTGCATTATACTGGCTTGAACCGATTTCAACTGTTGGTTCGACCGAAAAACTATCGAACCATTCCTGGTTTAGTATATCCGGCCGATTATATAAAATATTTATTTTAATTAAATTTTTAAGTAATATAATTTAGTTTATTAAATTCTTATGTATTTTAAAAATATTTTTATAAGATATGGAAACGAATTCAACCATGATATATACATGTCATATCAAATACATGATTCATTGTAAGATATGTGTACTTTACACTATATAAAGAGTTAAAGGCAACTACCATAAACTATTCTATGATGTGAGACTAAAAAGCTACATGAAAACTATATGAGTTAGAATATGACTTTAGGTTGTTTGGGCTAAAATTTTTGGGTAGTTTGGGCTACAAATTTTTTTAATGTGTATTATAAATTTATATTATATATATTTTAAATTTTTTAAAAAAATGTTTAATCGTGTATTTATATTTATAATATGCATATATTTATATTCATATTAATGATTAATCAAGCTTCTTACCGCGCTTTATATCTCTTTAATAGAGTTTGTTCAAATATCTTAATTGAGATAATTATATATTCACTTTTAAAATTTTCATTTATTATATAAATTATATTATAATTGAATAATTTTAATATTTATTATATTATCCGATTCAACACCGATCGAACTAATGAACATTGAACCTAATTCTTATTGTAGACATTACAAAATTGCTACATAGCATAATTAAATAGAGTATATAGAGAACGAATAAGAGCTACAATCAATAAGGGCATCTCCAACCGAACTCCAAATGCTTGAAAGGCGTTGGTGCAGAGCTCCGGCGGAACGGTAAAAATTCTGCTATTTGCTTGCGGGTGAACAGTGGGACGCCAATATTGGCGTTGCACTGTTCATCCCCGCTATTTTTCTATCTCTACCTACCTTGCCGAAGAAACGCACGAAAAGAAGAAAGAAGGTTACCTTCGCAAATTTGGAGTTCGATTGGATGAATCACAGCATTTTTTTAGTTTAACGCCATTTTGAAGTGAAAAATGAGATTTTCGGTTGGAGATGGTCTAAGTAGTAAGGGGAATTTCAAGCGAATTCTGAATTGAGGGGGTCTTGTAATGCTCTTTTGATGTAACCCATAATAACCTAGAAGCACTCTAGGATAGTTGACGAGCACTTTTGGGAAAATAACCTTGACTAATTAGTGACTCCATAAGTCATTTGGTTGGTTTCCTCGACTTATTATCAAGGCCCAAGTTTAACAAATTAAAATTGGAGGTGAAATTAGAGTCAACTTCTAGCCAACTTATTATATAATCAGTTTTGGCTGTGGGTGAATTGAAGTTTTGTTCCAAATTGAATTTGGTTCAAGTCAACTCTCAGTCAAGGACTTCTTGAATCCAATTCAACTTGATTAAGGTAAATATGGGTGTAATTGTTTGGCAATAACCACATGGGGTCAAGTAGGGTTTAGTAAATCCTCTAAATCCAGATTTAATAAATACGGGGGCTATTAAATCCTAAGGGGTTGTTTGGTATGGGAATTACGCTCGGATTTACGATAAATCCTGCCAAACATTTTTCAAGTGCTTCGTAAATCCCGATCCTAGGTAAATCCCAGATTTACAAATTTACGGCGTAAATTCGGGATTTAGTAAATCTCCCGGTTTGGCGGTTTAATGGAATTTACACTGGCGATAACTCTCTCCCGTGGCGCCCATGTCGGGAGTAGCTGCAACCGCCCTCGTCATGCTTCGCCTCAGCCTCTTGACCGCCACCTCAGCGTCTTCCTCTGCGATTCGTCTTCATCCGTAGTCACTGCGAGCAGGGTTTTCTCATCGCACAGGTAATGTGAAGAATTATGTTGATCTGAAAGGGACAACTTGGATACAAAATTTATGAAGTTTTGATGAGTTCGTTCAAAACTCTTACCTCAGCGAAGTAGGTGATAGCGAAGGAATGGAGAAGAGGAAAAGCAAACCCTAGACAATACTAAGGACCTCCAGGTAATGGTAGAGAAGAATGACTTATCCTTAATTAAGAATATATCTAATTAACTTAACTGATATAAATTGGAATATAAATAAATAATTAGATATTCAGTAATGTAAATATTAATTAATTAATAAATTAATAATGGAATATTTAATTGATTGTGAGATAATTAATAGTAAAAAATTAAAATAACACTTAAAATTCATTAAAGTAAATTATAGTTAAATAATTACCATTGTGATTAGTATTCAACTTGGATTTATTATGTTGTATGCACTTATCTTGAATTTATAACAATCTTATTGATGCAATTCAACACTGCTTCGTCTCATTTAAATCTCTAACTGTCATAAATCTTGAAATATGTTACCAAATAGTTTCTTAAGATTTAATATTTGTCATACCAAACAGTTTTCAGAATTTAACACCCTCATGATTTGTTAAATATGGATTTACAGGATTTACTAAATCCCACTGAAGTTAAATCCTATTTGTTGTCAAACAGCTCCTAAGAATTGTTTGGCATGATAGAGGTTAAATCCAATTAAATCTTGAATAATCGTTTGGCAACTTATTTCAAGATTTAAAGTGATTAGACCATTGAAATTTTTAATTATTAATTACACTATTAATTATGTGATCACTTATTTAAATTTCACTTTAATAACTAAGTATCTAAATATTTAATTACAAGTAACTATTTAAGTGTTACTAAGAATTTAATTACTAATTATAATATTATTTATCTAATTAATTATTTGGGTGTTATTTAATAAACAATATTAATTAATAACTATATTATTCTTTGCTTAATTAAGTTTTTAAGTGTTGTTTAAATGACTAATTATTGTTTTTCGTCCTTGCCATTTAGCAAGTGCTGCAGCCTCACGTGAAGTCGAGCTACAGGCTTCAGCCTTCAGCAACTACTTCGAGGAGAACGACACCACGTAAAATCGATCGTTGCATTAGGTCTGTCAGCTTTTGCTCCTTCCGTCTCCAGGAGAGCGAATTCAACATCTCGTGGCAATAGAGCTCGCCTTCGGACGACAGCATGTCATGCCTCAGAGGACGGAAGACCAGTATTTCTCCGCGCCTTTCTCCACAATCTGCCGAACTCCCATATATAGAAAATCCGGGATTTAATGGAAAAAGTAGAAAAACGGATGATTAAATTGTCGTCAGATTTAACATGTTTTTTTTTTCTTTGTATTTGGCGGGATTTAGGTTAAATCCTGCTACCAAATAGCACCTATATATAAGATCAATGGCTCGGAAAACAGATAGGCAAGAACAAACAGTGAAAAAAAAATACCAACTCAGCAATTAACAACCATCCAAAGTTCCATATAATATCCAACATCTAAAGAAACCCCCAAATTATACAGAATATAAAGATGAAAATGACGCCATCGAGAACGAACCTTGCAGGGTCTGCCCTTGATAACGATGTATCCATTCTTACGGATCGTTCCAGCCTGCTGTGGATAAGTCTTCGAAGCGCCGGCATCGGCCTTCGATTCGAAGTGCTGCTCCTCGTCCGACATGACCTCTTCGTTCTACACATCAGCAAAGAAACAGTAATCTTCCCGGATGAAACCATTAGAAATCAATAAAATAAATACCTAATTAAAGGGTAAAAGGTCTGCACCAACGGATAACTAGAACGGAAGCTGCCGTCGATGAGGCGAGCGGCGGCGGACGAGGAATTGGATCAAAATTAGAAATTATCTTTTGGCTTCGGCGTTAAGGACGGAAAAGGGCATAAAAATCCAGGAGGTACGATGTTCCGCAGGTTCTGTTTAATTCACTTCAGTTTTTCACCAAAATTCGTAATACTACACGTGGTATATTCCGTATGCAAACACGTGGCTTTTCTATTATCCAAGGGATTAAGCTGTACCAGCAAGAGTGGGGCCCAGTTTGTGATGGGATAGCTTGGAAGTAACGCACCGCTGGATTCGAACCTTATCCTATCCCAGCGCCAGATTCGAATTCTGTCCAAATAGGGCTGTTTAGCGAGGTGAGTCAACTCAGTTCGGGCTCGACTCTATAAATAACTTGTAAGGTGAGCTTACTAAACTAACAAGACAAATTTAAGTATAAAGTCATATTTCATATTCTTTTATTATGTGATTATTTATTATTTATCTATAATTTATTTATTTTGAATTATTTTATTATAATAATTACTTAATCCCTTAATTGAAAGGTATCTAATTGGGTAAAATGCTATATAAGTATGATATATTTTACAATTGACCTCATAAATTTAGGTAACTCATGGGTGCTAATTATAAATTTGATTATAATAAATTTTGCATTATATTATTTATGAATTTAATAAATATTTTAGCAAGTAATTTAATACAATAAAAATCATGGCGAAATTTAAGCTTTTGTTTTTAAATTTAAAAATATATGTAATTAAGAAAAAAATATGCTTTTAATTTTAAATTATATACAAATTTGTGTAGAACTGACAATCTAATGCTATGAAAATTGTGAAGAAAATAATTGTTAAATATCATATTAAGATTTCATTCGGAATAGCATTCTTATTGCATTGTTTTTTGGATCATAATCATATTTATATTTGACCACTGCTTTTTCATTATTTTTAAGAACTTTTTGTATTAGAAATTTGCTTAGGCTTCATTTGAGACGGCTTTCTTACTGTTTATTAAAACATATTTTTAGTACAAAATTAAAATTTTTATACTAGAAAGCTGATTTAAGAAGCAATAAAAAAGTCGTCCCAAATAAAATCTTAAAAAAAAAAAATTTCTTCACAGCTGCTTTACAATCAACTTTACAAGATTTACTTATAATAAACTAATAGTTGATCATATATCATATACTCAATAATCTCAAGTATCTCGAGTAAAAAACATATATTTTAACGAGATTAATTCGATTATAAAAATGTGAACTTCATCGAGTTTTCCCAACTCGTTATAAACTGATCTCTTGATCAAAACTCGACCATTGATTAGTTCGCCGGTTTTAAGATTCCAAAATTTTTATAATGATGAATAACTTTAAGAGCATCTGATATCTTACAGAAAAGCTTCATCACTATTCATAAATCTTAAAATGTAATCAAATATATAATTCATTTGCCAATAACTAAAAATCAGCCATCGGATTGCATTGTTAACCAAAAAAAACATTTATCATTTAAAATATTGCACCAAATCAAAATTCGAAGATCATATTTTTTTCAGTAAACAGTCTTTGCTTTTAATTGGAGTTGCTCTTAACTCTTTGGAGTCTTGGCAAATTTTGGTTTATCCTAAAATAGAAAATTAAATTTAAATTTCTTAAATTTTAAATATATATGACGAAAAGTCGAAAACTAATATGAAAAATCTATTTAATGTTATAATTAGATCTCCCAATCATTGCCATAATTAGAGACCTAATTAATGATGTAATTAAAAGTCTTTCTTTCATTGTCATAATGTCATACTTAGATCTCCTAATCATTGCCATAATCTGGCGCCTATGCCATTGTTGGCTTCAGGAAAGTCTTTCTTTCCTTGTCTTTTGTGATTTTCTGTGTTTTGTGGTTGGTTTTTCCCGTTTCGTCCACCTTTGGCCGTGCGCGACCGGAATGGCGGTGAATCAGATCTTGGATCCTAGTTTTTTTAATGGATCTACGAAATCCCGCTCCTTCTTAGATGACCTCTTTGGTTCTTCGATGTTTGCTTTCCTGAGCTTAAAATGTTGACCTTTCGCGGTTTACACTCGTTGTGGATCTCCGAAGAGGAGATCCTTGCGTTTGTGGCTCCTTTCTAGTTTTTGTTGGTTGGTTTTTTTTTCCTTCCTGCCGTCCTAGCTTGAATTATATCCATACGTTTTTTTAACCTGAAACGGATTGCCGATTTTTCGGTAACGATGCTAAACCTAACACATGTTTTGATTAAATTGATGAATGATCTGGATTATAGCAAAGTGTTATGTCACAAATCTTACTTTGTGAATAATTATTACATGAAGTTAACTAAATGATCTCCCTCTCTTGATATTGGTGTTTAGTCTCCTATGATTCTCATATGAATCTCTTTTCCAAACTTAAGGCCGCATCTCTTCCCCCCTTCCCTGTGTTCTTCATGCTTTGGGTGCTTCATTTAGTTCGTCTATTAAAAGTTGACAACGCCAACTCCACTAGCTCTCAGCCTTCTCTTGCTCGTGTTTTGGTTGAGCTTGACATTACCAAAAAGTATCCAGACAAAGTGTGACTTGGTCCAGATAAGTGTGGTTACATTCAGCTTGTTCAAATGGAGGCTTTCCCTCCATTTTGTAGTCATTCTAAATCTATTGGGCATGTGTGGGGGGAGTGTCGATCTTCTATCCCTCTCACTGTTTCTACTCGGAATATTACTGGACTTATGGAAAATGTTGTTAATGGTATTGTTGATGTTGTTATTCCTAACCTTGAGGGGGATAATAGTGAGGTTTCTGATCTTATGGTTCATCCTGATACTTTTCCTATTGTCGTGCCTAGTGCTCCTCATGATGTTTATCATAAGGGATGTGGATGTTGTTGTTTCTCTGATTTCTCTTTTGCATATGGCTTCTTCTTCGGGTGTTAATGTGGATGTTGATGTGGTTATGGAAATTGGTGTTAATGCGGATGTTGTTGTAGTTGTGGAAACTAATCCTTGTATGACTAATTTTATAGCATCCAATTCTTTGGAAAATGGTGAAGATTTTATTCCTTTGCCAGTTTTGGTCATTGATGTGCTTATTCAAAATGAAGTTGGTTTGGTTGTTCAGCATCTTGATACATATGGTATGGATTTGAATAATGAATTGCCTATTTCAAATGATCTTATTTCTTTTGTCTCTAAGGATGGTTATGCTGGTAGTATGGAACCAAAAGATAATGTTTTATTTGTTGATGTTCCTGTTACGATTATCTCTACTAACGAGTTAAAAAATCAACTGGCTTCCAATTTTTTACAAGGTTGTGTGGATTAATTCGATTGGCTGGATGGATCCTTTTATTCGCCTTGCGAGGATATTGAGGATAAAATGGATGAGCCGGAGGATGATTTTCAAGAGTTGTATAAATTGAATGTAACTCATATTGTTTAAAAAGTCTTTTCTCGTGGTGTGGTAAACATCAAATACGTAAATAAAAAAGAAGTAATTGTTGTTTGTCTTGGTGTTTATATTGTTTGGCCTTTATCTATTCAAGTTTCTTCTTTTTTGTATGATTGGGGTCCTTAACTACTGGCTCTTGGTTGGTGGTTGGTTGATATGTGTGCTTGGTTGTCGAGTTGGATCTTTTATTTGCTCGCTTTTGTTGTGGTTCCCTCCTATGGGTTGTTGGCGTGTTGCTGCTTGGTGGGGGTTTACTTGGATTTTTATTTGTGGCCTCTTTTGCTTCTTCCTATTTTTGTTTGGTCTTTAGCAGGTGGCCTCTTTTTGCTTGCTATGTTGTCATTTGTTTGCTAGTGGACTCCTTTTGCTTGCTATAGTGTCGTCTGTGGATTATGCTGGTTAATGGTTATGCTCTTATGGCTAGTTGCCCCTTTTGGGCCTTTTCTGATTGTCTTTTAATTTTGGTATATTGTAATAGGTAGGATAACTAGCTCTTAGGTTTTTCTTCGAGGGTTATATTTTCAGAGAGCATTATGATTCTTTAAGGGCTTGTATTTTTTTTATTGAACGCGTATGTCCCTCTGCGGGTTTTTCCCCAAAAAAAATTAATGATGTAATTAAAGCCAATAAAAGCTTTTATAACCAATGTTGAATTAGATATGAAAAGGTTTCCATAACAATCTGTATATTGTAATAGGTAGGATAACTGGCTCTTAGGTTTTTCTTCGAGGGCTATATTTTTAGAGAGCATTATGATTCTTTAAGGGCTTGTATTTTTTTTATTGAACGCGTAGGTCCCTCTGCGGGTTTTTCCCCAAAAAAAATTAATGATGTAATTAAAGCCAATAAAAGCTTTTATAACCAATGTTGAATTAGATATGAAAAAATTTTCATAACAATCTTCACATCGTCTTTCACTTCAATAAGTGGAAGATAACAAAACAAACTCCAATATCAAAACGACTATAACAAGATGGTTGCCTACATACCTCCCCAAGGGATGAAGCCAGTAGTAGTTCTTAAGAAATAAATGAATAATCAGTCATGAGCCTGAATGTTCACCAAACTCATATATTAGGTGAACTTCTAAACGGGTAGAACCTCTGTGAGCATTTATGTTGGATTCTCCTTCTTATCGATCTTCTTCAATTGGACATTAAATTCATCAATCAAATTCAGAACAAAATGGTGCCTTACATTAATGTTCTTAGTATGAGCAAGATAAACCAAATTTGTGGCCAAGAATATCACATTCTGACTATCGCAGGATACCATTATAGACTCTTGATCAACTCCCAAGGCATCTAGTAGGTCATGCATCCATATTGCTTCCTTCATCGCCTCCGTAACTACCAAGTACTTAGCCTTCGTATTAGACAAAGCAACAATAGAATAAAGAACCGATCTCCAACTGATTTGACCTCTTGTCAGTGTGAATAAATAACCAGTCGTAAACCTACGCCTATCAATATTACTAGCGTAATCTGAGCCAGTGTAGCACACACATAAATCAATAACAATGACTGCCTCTCAAAAGCCAAGCCTATAACGATTGTACCATTTAAATACCTAAGAATACTCTTCACAATGTTCTAATGACTCCTTTCCCGATCATGCATGAACCTGCTCACAACAGTAATTGCTTGTGCAATGTCTAGTCCAATACAAACCATGATATATATCAGACTGCAATTGCACTAGCAAAAGGAACCGATCACATATCTTTCCTCTCTTGATCATCTTTAGGACACTGATCTAAGCTAAACTGGAAATGAGATGTAATTGGTAGACTCACATCCTTGCTCAAGTCATCAACCTTATACTTTTCAGCACATTCTGAACATAAGCTCGTTGTGAGAGCCAAACCTTCCTATTTGTCTTGTCCCTAAGAATCCCCATGCCAAAAATTATATTTTGACAGTTGATTCTTCATCCTATGAGACATATGTAATAAACATTCATCAAAATATGGAAGAACGTAGATGAACTCATCTTTGATAATTTTTTTAAAATATGCTCCTTGTGCAGCAGCCCACCTTTGCACATGCTCGCTATGCATGCGCAACCCACAACGCAATCAAACCCGACACCTTCTCGCACACTCAACTTTCAATCATGTGCCATGTTCCTGTGCGGCCGCCGTGCTCGTACACGAACTTTGCACCCACTCGCACACGTCTAACTGCAAACCTGCTCGTCTCCGCTCGACCCAGAAAACCAAAGATATCAAAATTACTGTAAAATCATATCGAAATCCTGCTCTGATATCAATTGTTGTGCAAATAAACAATAGAAAATAGAAAATCACCAAACAAACTCAATGAACATGATGTGATTTACAAGGTTCGACGAAGAATTGTCTACATCCATAGGGAGAGAATGATATCACTATTGTGGATAAACATGATTACAATTGCACACAAAGAAGAGCCCACAAATCACCATATATAAATTTGAAATATAAACAAATATGAAAAATCTAATCAATACTATAATTAGATCTCCTAATCAATGTCACAGTTAGATCCCTAACAAATGTTGTAATTCAAGCCAATCAAAGCTTTCATAATAAATGTTGAATTAGATATAAAGATATTTCCATAATGAGGAGTGGGTGGACAAAATTACCCAAAGAGTCATTATTATTAATTAAAATTACTATTTGAGAATGGACAATTGCCCACCCTCAACCGTTCACTATTTGAGAATAGCTAGCTTACTCTCTCACTATTAAGGGTATGCATTATATTCTTAGATGTTAGAATAAAAAAAGTGAACCGAATCACTGTCACAAAATTATAAAGTATGAAACACAAGCTTGACTTCATGTGAATGTGATGATGAATGTTGGAGATACACTGAAAAGTAATGATGGTCATCAGGTGCTTAAATAATAGCGGTCTAGTGCTAGTAGTCGAGCAATAATGTTAGCTGTCGGATGATAATGGTTGAGATAAGACAATTGGACGACAAAATGAGCTATGTCTGTAAATAAATGGTGGTTGGACATGACAGTTATGTTTGAACAGTAATTGAGATTGATTATCGCCAATATCAGATTTTGGCAAGGCTTTGGAGTTCTTTACATCTCTAAGCTTTCTGCCCATTCAGATCTTTTTCATGTGAACAATACGTGTATTTATAATTTTCTGGGATAGACAATTTGATAAATTAAGCCGAAATTTCAAAGCACTCTATCAGACAACCTATAATGAGTATTTTGATCGTAAGCCATTCATTATAAATTTAATTATCTTAATGATTAAAAACACGAGTGATCATAGGCTTGTTAGATTCCTCTCGTCGAGATACTCATTTTGACTGTACGCACTCAAAATTCATAGATCATTTTATCCATCCATTAATATCATAAAAATTTTTAACTGTACTTAAAATGCTTGATTCGAGCACATTTTGACTCAAATTGAAATACTTTTGGCATTGCTATGCTCGTATCATCAAGCATTCAATTCAGTCATAAATTTATTGAAATAATAATTTAGACTCTCTTAAAATAAATTTAAAAAAAATACAATTTAGATGCTACATCAAGATTCATGCTTGCTCATCTGATCAAATTAATATTAAATATGAATAATTTTTTTTAGCTTTAAAAAACTCAAGCTTAACTAAATTATGACTTTATAATAAATTAAATTTATTTAAATCTCAACACATTTACTACTTCAAATTTAGGCAATATATCTATAGTTCAACCCAACATCATGTTTCATGTGAATTAAAAAATGCCGAAATAAAGAATAGATTTTTCAGCACAACAAAAGCGTGGACATGAAAGGCCATAAAATATCACAGTTATCAACTTCGATTAGAACACCATGAAATGCACCCTTTAGTTCCTTTCATAAAATTAAAAAGATGAAAATGATAGGCATTCAATAATACTTTATAAATAAGACTTAGACTTCGTTTGGGGCGGCTTTTTTACTGCTTCTTGAAACAGCTTTTTAGTATAAAAATTAAAACTTTTGTACTAGAAAGTTGCTTCAAAAAGCAGTAAAAAAGCCGTCCCAAACGAAGCCTTAGGCGTTGTTTGAGATGGCTTTCTTACTACTTCTTAAAACAGTTATTTTTTCAAAATTTTTAAATTAAAAAATTGCTTTATAGTTTACTCATGCACTTTTACTATTCACAATCATAAAACCGAATGATTTTATGTGTCCGGACTCTGTCATAATAATCTCTCTATTTAAAGACCCTCTACGGTTTCAGTTTGTACAAAAAGATCAAAAAATGGCTCTTCCTACGAATCACTCGCTCCTTCTTCCAGCACTGCTCAAAGGTTCTAAGACCTCCATCAATCCTTCCTTCACTATCTCTCCTAAGTCGCCTCTGACCATCTCTGAGACCTTCTCCAGGTTGAAGAAACAAAGAAAAGTACTCTCTCTCTCTCTCTCTATCTCTCTATATATACATGGAAAAAATTATATTAAAATGATATATTTGAACGTAAATTTCAATGTTTTTGATTAGGTTGGATTCATACCTTACATCACTGCTGGAGATCCGGATTTATGTACGACAGAGAAAGCATTGAGATTGTTGAGCTCCTGCGGTGCAGATCTCATTGAAGTGGGCTTGCCTTACCCTGATCCCATCTTAGATGGTCCGGTGATTCAGGTACTTGATCATACAATCATACTGTAATATGTTCTTCGCTTCTCAATTGATTGGAGTCTTCTATTTTGGATGGAAAAGAAGAAATATTAGCAGTGGAATTTAAGATTTTTTCTATAACAATAGCTTAGTTACCATTGTAAGGCTTTTTCCACGTTAAAAAAGTTGCAAGTAATCAAATTTAAGAAAATAAAATAAAAATCACTTGCGTAACAGCTTCCACTACAGGATTTTCCAAAAATCTGTCAAAAATTCGAATTTTTTGTTAGGATTTTCGATGAAATTTAAAATTTTCTGACAAGTAACTATAATTAAATTAAATGTTATTAAACTAAAATAAATAAGTAGTTTTAATAATTATTGTTATGTTAGATTAATTAATTAACTAATTAAAAAATATTGTTAAATAGTTTAAAAAAAACTATTAAATCAAATTAACTAATTTAATAATTTATTGTCAAATTAAATTAAATTGATTAAATTAAGTATTGTTAAACTAAATTAAATAAATAGTTTTTATAATTATTATTATGTTAAATTAATTTATTCAAATTAATTAATTAGCTAATATAATAAATATTGTTAAATTAATTTCCACCATAATTTTAAATTAATTACTTTGATCTTTCAAAAATATTAATATTAATATTTAATTAATTATTAATTTTAATATTTTGTATACTATAATATAAATAAAAATAGTAAAACTTAGAATAGATTTTTTCCTACAACATGATGGTTTTATCTGCACTTCTTAGGGGAAGCTTGAATCCTTACTATATTTGTTCTTATTAGGTGTCGGATGAGCTGTTAAACTAATTATTGGCTATTACAATTACTGCTTCTGCTCATGCTACATTGTTCTACTGTTTTTCTTACTAAGATTTCGTTTGGGACTGCTTTCTCACTGCTTCTTAAAGCAGTTTTCTACTACAAAATTTTTGTACTAGAAAGCTGCTTTAAGAAACAGTGAGAAAGCCGTCCCAATCGAAGCCTAACTCTTTGGCATAGATGTGTGAAATTAAGACTTTATTTGAGGAACAGTTTTCTTACCTCTTCTTAAAATAATATTTTTTTGTACTAAAAATTGTTTTGAAAAGTAGTAAGAAAGCTATCCCAAATAAAGTCTAAAAATCCAATCAACGAAATCGCAATTACTTTGTAACATTTTGATTTAATTAAAAAAAATCATGTGAACTAACCAGACAAACTTTGCTTAATTTTCTAATTTTTTTCACAATTTGTAGGCTTCTACAATTCGGGCATTGACCAATGGGGTCAATTTTCAGGCCATTATTTCAATGCTAGGAAAGGTATTGTCCACTCAACTAGTAGCTCTATTAGTGCTAATCCAATGATTTTGAAAGGGCAATGAACAAGAACTTCTAAGGATTTGTTTGGGACGATTTTTTTCCTAGTTATTAAAACAGTTTTTTTAATTTTTGTACTAAAAAAGCTGCTTTAAAATAACTGTTGGTCTTACACTTGTAGGGTTGATTGCTGATAGGCTCACCGAAAGATTAGTTACACCGCTATGCACCTCCTAAGAGATGACAGCGGGTAGATACCCCGTTACTAATAAGTTTTTTTTTTTAATCTCCTATGCAGGTAGTTCCTGAACTATCATGTCCAATCATTTTGTTTTCCTATTATAATCAGATAATGAAAATTAATCAAGAAAGTTTCATGTCTGCTTTGAATTATGGAGGCATTCAAGGTAATCTTTTTTTTTTTTACATTAGATTACCTTCCAATCTTGATAGGTATTTTATTTTCACCGCTTTAAATTTAGTCAGGGTTTTCAAATGGAGTGATCTATTCAGAAAATTTGTGAAGTTCAGAGACCTAATGAAGTTCCTTTCTGTATAAGGCTTCGTTTGGGACAACTTTTTTATTGCTTCTTAAAATAGCTTTTTATAAGAAAAAAAAAACGATTTAAGAAATAGTAAGAAAACCGTTCCAAACGAAGCCTATGGTGATGCCTTAGTTTGTATATTTGTTTATTGTATTTGTAAGATTCATCTTGTTGTAATGAAACACTTTTTTATTTACACACAAGAAATAATCCTTCTTTTTTTTTGTTAATCAATATCCACAATTGGCAAATACCCTCATAGTTGTATGGATTCACATCCATACCCCTATGAGGGCTTGGATTCTCTTGAGTCACTGGATAGGGTAAATTGAATTTTAGAGCTATTTACTATTATTGTAACAAAAAAAAAAGAAATTTGAAGTTCCAAACCCAAATATTTCAAACTTTTTCTTGCAGAAAATACTTTATTTAGGTATCCATGCACTACAAACTAAGTAAAAAATAATTTTTTTTTTTTTTTTATTATTTTTTTATCAGGACTTATTGTGCCAGACCTTCCTTTTGAGGACATTGGGAGTTTAAAGAAGAGGGCTAATAAGAAGAATATTGATTTGGTATCCCTTTGATATATCTTTTAATCATCAAATCAAATTGATTCTCCAATATAAACGTACTTTTCCTCATTACTTATCTATGACCCTTTTTTTTTTTTAATTGATAAATCAAGATTTTCTACAAGCATTCATTGCAAAAAGAACAAAATAAATAAATAAAAAATAAATAAAGATTCGCTAAATAATAGAAATGTTAAAAGAAAGGTAAATGTTTCGTTTGGGACACTTTCTTATTGCTTCTAATTAAAGCAGCTTCCTAGTACAAAAATTAAAAATTTTGAACTAAAAAATTGCTTTAAGAAGCATTAAGAAAGCCGTCCCAAACCAGCCAGAAGTTAAAATAATAGTTTCCATCAAAACAAAAACTAAATTAAGGCTTTGTTTGGGACGGTTTTCTTACTGCTTCTTAAAGCAGCTTTTTAATACAAAAATTTTAAGCTGTTTTAGGAAGGAGTAAAAAATCATCACAAACGAAGCCTACGAGTTAATGAGTACATAAATAAATTTCCTTCCTGAACTAACACAAACTGAAACATTAAAATTTTATGAATAAGTGGATATGGGCTATTTCTTAAACACTAATTCTTTAGTATGGCATATTTTTAATTATGTTGAAGCATTAAATTCTATTGATACAGGTCCTATTAGCTGCACCAACTACTTCAAATTATCGACTGAAAGCCATTGTTGATGCTAGTGATGGTTTTCTCTACCTTGTAAGTCCATTTGATGGCATTCAAACGTAATCTCCATATGCAGCTTACATTTCACATCCCACTTAAACAGTTAAATATAATGTCTAACAATGAATCATTATTATAATATCATAAAAAATGCTATTATTTTTAGCAATTCAGATAATTTAGATCAAAGGTCAGATATCTAGCACCTTAAATTTCAGCAATTTTCAAATGAAGTAGTTAACCATCTAGGTTAGGGGTGCAAACGAGTTGAGTCGAGCTCGAGCTAGGGGGTGTTCGAGTAGAGCTCGACAGCCAAATATCAAGCTCGAGCTCAACTCGTCTCACGAAACGAGTCGAATTGAGCGGCTCGTAGAGCTCCTTCCCGACCTGCGTCGTTCGCGAATCTCGCTCGTCATCCCAAGCTACATCAACCGTCATCCCGTCGTCGAAGCTGCAAGCTCGTCCTCCCAAGCTAAGCCACGAGCTCCGTCGAAGCCTGCTCCCGCCTGTGAATCCCGCTCCCTCCCGACTATGAAATCTGATTCCCGAAACCCGCTCCTACCTGCGTCGTCTTCTCTTACGCGAGCTACTCGACGAGCTCTCGAGTCAAGCAACAGAGTGTTCGAACTCTGGCTCGTTAAGCATTCGAGCTCAAAATTTTGTTCGAGCTCGACTCGTCGAGCCCAAGCTAGCTCGCGAGCAGGCTTGACTCGGTTGCACCCCTAATCTAGGTAAAATAGGAACAAAATAAAGATAAATTAACTAGGTCATTTATTTTCTTTGTACAGAGGGATATTGCATGGTTTTTCATGAATACTGGTTGAATATTAATTTCATGTCTAAATAGGTTAGCACAACTGGAGTTACAGGTGCTCGTTCAAATTTGAATTCACAAGTACAATTTCGATTGGAAGAACTTAAAAAGGTAAATACAATAATGCTTGGGTTTTCTATTTTTTTTTTTCTAACGTTCATCATTTACTTTCCAAAACAAAGCAATCAATGTCAAATAATGTTACTATTCATACTTCTTCAAGGGGCACTTAACATACAATAAGACTTCTAATTACCATAACCTTGTTGGGTTGACAGTTTCTGACTCGTCGAGCTCCTTCCAAACCTGCGTTGTCCACAAATCCCGCTCGTTGTCCCAAGTTATGTCGACTGTCGTCCTATTGTAGAAGCCGCAAGCTCGTCCTCCCAAGCCGCAAGCTCCATCGAAGCCTGCTCCCGCCTACGAATCCCGCTTCCTCCCGCCTACGAAATCTGATTCCCGAATCCCGCTCCAGGCTGCGAATCCCGCTCCCGTCTGCGTCGTCTTCTCTTACGCGAACTAGTCAACGGCCTCTCGAGTCATCAACGGAGTGTTCGAACTTGGGCTCGTTAAGCCTTCGAGCTTGATATATAAGCTTGACTCGTCGAGCCCGAGCCGGCTTAACTCGGTTGCACCCCTAATCTAGGTAAAATAGAAACAAAATAAAGATAAATTAATTGGGTCATATATTTTCTTTGTACAGAGGGATATTGCATGGTTTTTCATGAATACTGGTTGAATATTAATTTCATGTCTAAATAGGTTAGCACAAATGGAGTTACAGGTTCTCGCTCAAATTTGAATTCACAAGTACAATTTCGATTGGAAGAACTTAAAAAGGTAAATACAATAATGCTTGGGTTTTCTATTTTTTTTTTTTCTAACGTTCATCATTTACTTTCCAAAACAAAGCAATCAATGTCAAATAATTTTACTATTCATACTTCTTCAAGGGGCACTTAACATACAATAAGACTTCTAATTACCATAACCTTGTTGGGTTGACAGTTTCTGATATTATTGAAATGATATATGTTCAAATTGATACTCAGGCTTCGTTTTAGACAACTTTTTTATAGTTTTCTTAAGCAACTTTTCAGTACAAAAATTTGTTGAACTAAAAATTTGTATACTCGAAAGCGGTTTTAAAAAGCAGCACGAAAGTTCTCCCAAACAAAGCCTCAATTTGTTTTAAAATTAAGGCTTCGTTTGGGACAGCTTTCTTCCTGCTTCTTAAAGAGTATTCGTTTGGGACGGCTTTCTTCCTGCTTCTTAAAGCAGTTTTCTAGTACAAAAGTTCTAATTTTTGTACTTGAAAGCTGCTTTAAGAAGCAGGAAGAAAGCCATCCCGAACAAAGCCTAAGTCAATTTTAAAATGGATACTAGTATGGGTTTTAAGCTCTAGAATGTCACATATTAAGTTTAGAATGTAATGGAGAATAGAACATCTAACGTTCCATCCACACATCTCAGGAAACCTCAAAACCCATAGCAGTTGGATTTGGAATATCAAAACCAGAACATGTAAAGCAGGTTTGCATATGCTACTGAATGAAATAATTGTGCTTTTCATATTTCAAACCTTAGCTTTCGTCTAAGGTTTAATAAATTTTGCAGCTATCAATATGGGGAGCAAATGGTGTGATTGTGGGCAGTGCCATTGTCAAGCTATTAGGAGAAAGTAAATCCTCTGAAGAAGGATTAAGACTTGTGGAGACGTTTACAAAATCCTTAACTTCTGCACTACCTTGAAAACCAATTTAATCAAATTATATTCTATTTTTAGTTATTTTTTGCTAATAAATCGTTTGTAAGAAAAAGTATTTATCAAATAAATCATGATTTTTCAAATGCTTCTGATTCTTCAATGCAATTTCATTAGCTATTTGCATTGCTGCAACAAGTCTAAATTATGTATTTTAAATTGTAATCCTCAAAATTCTACTTTGTAGAAGCATTTGCTCATATCTACAATCATAATCCTTCTTAGAAATAGGAACTCCATCAAAAATGGTCAGCAGTTATTAAGAAAATTTAATAGTCGGCCTCTTGAATTGAAGTCTTTAACCAAAAAACTTTTGGTAACAATGCACAATAAATATTTCAATATTAAGGGGGTTTTTTGGGGTAGTTGCAGCTATCTCTAAAAGTAGTTATAGAACTGTGGTGAAAAGGTATAATTTTTTAAAGTTTTTGTTGGTATTATATATAGGGTCTGTTTGGTAGTACCCAAGATTTGATTTTAGTAGGATTTCGTAAATTCTCTAAATATGGATTTCGTAAATCTTGAAAATTGTTTGGTAACTTTCATTATAAGTCCTATCAAATCTTATGTGACTGTTTGGCTATAGAGCGGATTTAATGAGCGGACTCTTCCTCTCGAGCCAATGGAATTCAGAAATCCGGCAAAAAACAGGATTTCAAAAATCTTGGATTTAGCATGAAAAGACAGAATTTTCCGTCTAGGGCGGCTTTCATTTGCCGTGAGAATTGGTTTTGCATTTTAGGCTGAAAGTTCTAGGTTAAAAAAAGTGATAGATATCTGAGAAGTAAAGCTATAAAAATGTTGCCCCAAATGGATCATAAATATGTGAATTAAAAATGGGAGAAAGGGGCTTCCAACAACAGGTGATGACCTAGGCATAATGAATGTATAAAACAAGATAATTCCTTTTCTATTAATGTCTCAATCATCTGATCCTAAGAGGTGATTCATATTAGACTCCAGAAATCCCACTAAAATAGCTTCTCACATGAAGTCCAAGTTATTAAGCTATGCATCCAACATCCATATGAGGAAATAATTACGCTGTTATCCAACAGTTTTCATGCTTTCAGAACCCTAAACCCTAAACCTAAATCATATTTCTATTGCCAAATCTACATTTACCGTTGCCCACGCATACGCTTACAATTGCTCACAGTTTGTCCCAAAAACAATTACTCACAGTTAAGCCAGCAAAATCCGAACCCTTATACCATAAATCATTATATATAAATATGAGAAGTTTAAAAAGGGCTGGCGGAGCTCAAAACCAATATTGAGTTATAGCTGGGAAGATACCTCAACAAAGCTCCGTGAACTCCCTCTTGCCGGCGATGGCAGTGTTCTTTGGTTGCAATAGTTGATCACTTGATTGATCGAGAGAGAGCGAGAGAGTCCACCGCGAAATCAGAGATGCCTCTCCGGTCTCATCCATGCCGTTCGGCAACAACGGAGGCGGCGTTTCATGCCTCTTAACCAAAACCACTTGGAGTTTCGAATTTATAGGCCTCACAATACAGTAATTTAAAAAATATGCCGGTTTTGTTTTTTAAGAAAAATAGTTGAAATTTATTTTCTAATAAAAATATCACTATTTTAATCTCGGGTTATTTATTTAAAATTCATGACAATTATATTAATTTATGAAAAACTTGAACATGTTTTAAATGAGATTTAAATATGTTGTGATTTGGTGCAGTTTATAGCTTTATATTAGATTGTTTCTTAGGTCATGATATTCTAATGATTTTATTCCTCTATAAATAAAGAGGTTGTAATTTGATAGAAGATTAAGCTACTTGAATTTTATTTTTTTGGTATGATTAGGGATGTCAAAATAGGTCTGAAGGTCGAGTTCGGGTCGAACCTGGAGCTAACCTGGGTTCAAACTGGTTGACCCTAACCTTGCTCGGTTTTGTAAGCGGGTCGAAACTTCAAACCCAAACCTGAATTGACATGATAACCGGATTTTCCCAGGTCGAGTGAGAACGCGCAGTTCTCCGGGTGCAGATGCATCACGCGAGATGAGTGTAGAAGTGGTGAAATGGTCGTGGGGGAGCAAGCGAGCTAGGGCGCGGGAGCAGTGGAGCAAACGAGAGGGAGTGGGCTTGATGCGGGCGCAACCTAGCTACAGACGTCTCATGCGTCTAACACGAGATGACGGAAAGGCGAGTGTTTCCAGTTGCCTGCGCGAGTGTGCGCCTGTGCGGGACGGCGAGAGAGTCCAGGTGCTAACCCGACTGCAGGATGGAGGGGCCTCGTGAGCACAAGCTCGGCCAGTGGCTTGCGCGGTCACGAGCGCAACAATGGCGAATCTGGGTCACGGGCGTGGAGCAGGAGGTCGGATTTGTGTCAATCCATGTCACTTTCGGGATTTCTTGTCAACCCAACCCAATTTTTGAAACATGTCGGTTTGTTGAACCCAAACCCACCCGTATGACAAACGAGTTGACTCTAACATGAAATTTCCGGATCATGTTCGTGTCAGATTTTCCAGGCCGTGTTAAATATTGACACCCCTTGCTCTGATATACACTCTTCCTTTCTTCCCTCCCCCCCTCTCTCTCTCTCTCTCTCATTCAAGAACTCAAGAAAACCCAACAAAATAAAATTTGAACAAGTTTCAAATACGTTGTGAATAAGATTTGGCACAAAATTTTCTACAAATTTTTCATGAATGATAGGGTTGGATGGTTACACGCCAAAATTTTTCAGGAGTTGTGTTCCCATTGTAGCTAATGTTTGATATTTTACTTACATTGAGAATCTTAAAACAATATTTTATTTCTTTGATTTCCACGATATTAATGAATCTCCCATGATGATAGAATTCAGTGATGGATCTTCTTGTGTGAGAGCATGCTTCCCAATCAACATCCCAAAAGCTTTAAGCCTTTAAGATGCAAAAGAGATTTAGCTGAGAAAAAATAGTCTTTTATCCCTATATGAATTTTAAGCATGGGCGAAACTACGTTGATTTGAGAGCGGCAATTGCACATCCTCAAAATTGTGTTTTACTTAATAAGGAGAGAAAATTTGAAAAATTTATCCCTCCTAAAAAAATGTTTCTGCACAATCTTGAAGAGTTTTTTCCCGTCCGATCCAATTCACACAGGCCCAACCACTCATTATTTCGTGTCAGCCCATGGCAATTGGCAAATCACCGCTTGCCCGTCGCTGCACCGCTTGCCCGCCGCTGCCCCGTCAGCCCGTGGCAAATCCCACTCCTGCCCGGCTGCCCCACTTGCCCCCGTGTTTGCATCATGCCATCATGCCCATCACGTGAAAATAGGCAGGGCAGCAGACTGCATATCCCGAGGACCCGAGCCAGTGTCCAGGCCCGCATGAGGGCTTGCCGGCTGCTGCGTCCAAGCCAGCGCCCGCGTGAGGGCTTGCCGGCTACCGCATCCAGGCCAGCGCCTGCGTCCAGGACCTCCAGGAGTTTGGCAGCCTCGCATGTTGGCACCCACTTTCGGGTCGTGTCAGGTTGACCCGAACCCGAAGCGGGTCGGTTCGGGATGACCCAAACTGTATCGGGTCAGTTCCGGGTTCGATCCGACCCATGACCAGAAATTGACACCCCTAGTGCTTAGGATTGAGCCAATAATTGGCTCAACATATGAAAAACTAATGTGTGAAGGAATGTGGTGGGGTCCTTAATTGCCACATTGAACCAAATAAAGAATTAGTTTTGGCACCTTTTTTTTCTTAGTCAACGAAGAAACATGAGAAAGTTAATTTTTAGTTAAATCATTTATATCGAAGTGTAACATATCCTCAGTTCTTCTTGAGGACTTTTACTAAAGAGTTAGGAAGAAGTGATCCTTTTCATTACCATCTATTGCTTGTTCATTTAAAATCTGATTGACGATGGCTGATTTTGCCACAAAGTATGCCTAGAAAGATTTTGCCACAACCTTATAATCTGACCAGAAAAATTTGAGTTGACCCGTTTAATAAACGGGTTGGATTCGGGATACAATTTTTGACCGGTTTGAAGAATCGGATCGGATTCGGGTCAACCCGCTATCCCGACTTTGACCCGCTTATCTCTGTCTGCCGATTTTACTTAATAGCCCACCTCCGTAATTATATGCTCTACCTCGCACACCACCACGAGATCCCAGGGAGCATTCGATCCCTCCTAGGGGTGTAAGTGAGCTGAGCTGGCCCGTGAGCCGACACGAGCTCGACTCGTTTATGGGCTCGCGAGCCGAGCTTATCGAGCTCACGAGTTGAGCTCAAGCTCGAGTTCAAGCTCGTTTAGTAAACGAGCTTGAGTTCGAGCTTGAGTCGGCTCGAATAAATATTAATATTTTTAAAATAATTTTATTTAATTTATTAAATTTAAATATTAAAAAAATTAATAAAACCACATAAGTTTTATTTAAATGTTAAACATTTCATATTTTTTTTTCTAAATTTTGACTAAATTTTAAAAATTCCGCTTTAGTTTTAAAAATCCCGCCTAATTTTAAAAATTCCCGCCCATGGCTTGCGAGCCGTCTCGAGCGCCCGACCTCGAGTTCGAGCTCGCTTTCCAACTAACGAGCCGAGCTCGATAAGGGCCTAAATTCGACTCGACTGAGACTCATTGGGAAGAAAGCTTTTCTACATCTTCCATATCCAATTCCTAGCTCCAGTTCCAGAATTTTCATCCGACAAGGACTTGCCAGCATTGTGTGTCGCCAAAAACCACCCATTCTGCCATTCAGAAGAGATCATATCTGGAAATCTCAGTTACCTCATCGGGCTATCCATCGGTAACTCCGCCAACACGAGAAGCAACCTCGTGTGGATACCGCGTCAGGCTTCAGTCGGACGGAGACTTGGATGTGAAGGGGGTCTCGTTCGCTGAACAGGGTTGAGAAACGGGAATCGCAGAGTTGCTGGGACTGTGCGGGATTGGAGATGGCCATTGCAGATACAGCGATCCCCATCGCCTGATTCCAATTATTGTAATCATCACCAGTGAAGGCTTATGAGAGGAGCAGAATCCCAAGACAAGGAGAATGATGGATGTAAAAGAGGCTGAGATGATCATCAACCCGCAAGCTCGAGGGGTCCAAGCTCAAAGATTCCATGGTTTTCTGTTGTAAGCCTAAAATTAAAATACCTTACTAAATTTAATAGTTAATAGGGGATCAACATCCATTGTACAGTAAAAAATATAGTGATAAGAACCAAAAGGGGGAGTGATTCTTAACAAGAGAAAGAACATGAGCAATAATCATATGAAAGAATGTCAATAGGAAGATTCTCGTAATGATAGAAATCATCAACAGGTAGCTTGTGACTTAGAAGAAGATGATGAAATTTCTTTAATGTCCTTTACTTGCAAATTTTATAATGCTCAATGCATTATATGAATCTAGATTAAAACTGCATAATGAAGCTATAATGTGGATGTTCTTATTCAATTAAAGAATAAAATAATAATATTAGATCACATAATAGTATTGAACAAATTAATAATAAATACAGATTTCATTAACACATTCTTACCATCAGTTTTACCAAATACTCTGCAAATCTCATATGATCAAAGTTCATAAACACTTCATAAATCTCAACTACAAAATATTTACATATGATTTCCTGAACGCACAAACCTATAAACAAACATGGCTAAAAGACACAACAACCATGAGTTTTCCACCTACGAACCTCAATGAAATCTTAAAGATGACAAGCTAAATTGAGTTGTCAGTCTCAACTTCATAAAAACTGATTTAACATTTATTCTAGAAATGTACAGGCTGTTTGTAAACTAAAATGCAACTCAATAGTGAATATTGACCAAGAAAACTTGTAAAACTCCATCAGAATTACACTGTAGAAAACTGAACAGACCCAATTTTCCCTCCCTTTACAGAAATGAGAACTATAGAAATCAATCTCTACCTCTCAAGTTAAAGCTGTAGTGACATTTAGTGGAGGATGGCTTCTCTGTCTCCGGCACCGCCTCGTTGTCCTCCCCCAGCCAAGCATACCTGGTCTGTCAACTTCAAACTCAAGGTTATTAGCATTCTTACTAAATAAAAACAATGTCTGTTGAGGCCTGTTATGCTCCTTTGTAATGGCAATGGAAGTTTTTCTTGGCACTTGTCTTCTTTTTGCCTTAGCAGGCGTGCCATTTCGACTGCCGTTACGTCGTCCTGTACTCACTTCCCAATGACATCCAGATGCTTTCAGTAGTCCACCAATCAACTGAAGGTCTTCAACCATTTCTTTCCTTGATAGTGTGGCAAGACCAGGGAGTGTGTCCTTCTGAAAGTCTCTTCTTTGCCTCCTCTTTCTAGCTTGCCCTCTTCGAGGCTTTTTAAAGAGCAGCAAGGCCCTACTCTTCTCATCCTCCTTTGCATTTTCGGTTTCCTGAGGAGTACACCATGCCTCCTCAGGTTTCATCTCTTCAAGCTGTAGTGTCATCAGCTCAAAAAGATCCATTTCTAAATCTGAATTTATCATGTGTGCGTTTAACAAGGCCACATCGGCAAACAAATGCAAGTTATTGCATGGTGGTTCAGTGGATAAGCAGCTCTGATCGTCATCCAAGCGCTTGAATTTATCAACTGACAGCGTGATCATGTTTTCTGCTGCTTCTTTGATGAGCATATCATCAGAGAATCCATTTTGTTGCGAGTCATTTCTTATGCTACACGGAGTGGCTTCTATCTCATTGGTCTTATTGTGTTCTAGTGGCATGGCAGGTGCATCCATGTCTATCAAGGGGAAGGCTTTGGAAGAAGATGAAGTATCTGATGTTGGTGATGGGACACCAACTGGACTTTTATCCGACATTTTTGAGACATTTGGTTCATCTTCGAATGTTACCTCGCAGTTCAAATCAATATGATTCCTAAAGCTCTTACTGTTTTCAGCAGATAACTCTTTTTTAAGTGGATTTATGTCTCTGAACACACTATCATGCTGCAACTCATCTACTTGCTGATGCTTTTCATTCAAAAAATTTAGATTTGGCTGAATCTGATCGAAAATAGGGAATCCATTACTCTTTTCTCTTGAACAACTGGGTACCTCATTCCTTAGTGTTTTCTCCTCAATGCATTGCATATTTGCTGGTAAGTCTTCCAATTTACATGAAGGAATCGATGTTTTTATTTCTACTTCCCCCTCATTTCCTAGACTTGATGAGCTAAAACACAAATCTTGTCCGGAGGACAACCTGCCTAGATTCAGAAACTCATTACAATTGGGCTTTTTCTTGAGCCAAGGGAGTTCTGGTGACAGTTCTTCAAAGTCGCCATCCCTTTCACTCGTTGCCTCATTCTTCGCAGCAGTTACTGCATTTCGAATATCAAAAGAATCACTTTCTTTCAAGTTGACGTCCAGATTACCATATGAAATGCTTAGCTGTGACACCGAATGAGAATCTTGATGGAAACCATGGTTAAATCCATTTTGATGTGAGAATTTTCCATTTTCAAGATGGTTTGACCTTAAATCGCTACACAACTGCAATCTGTCACAAAAACCACTTGGGTCCTCAGTAGCGGTGTCCAACATCATGACATTATTCATTGTTGTTGATTTGTGGAAGCTTGATATTGTTTGAAGTGGAGCAGATGACTGCTTCTCACCACCTGATGGCTTCATCCATGTTGGAAACAAAGAAGCTGAGACAGCACAGTCTGAGCCTTCTCTAGGGATTTCCAAAAAACTAGGTTTCTTCTGACCAAATACTGTCTCAGCTTTGTTTAGATCATCTAAGAGAATGCCATTGGCCTTGATTGGGCTCATCTGTATTGGTTCTAAGGACATCGAGTATTTCTCATTACCAGAATCTATGTTCAGATCGAATTTAGATTTCCCTGCAAAATACAGCCAAGCAGAGTTGGAAGACATTTCATTGGAAGGATTTGGGACAAAAGAACTTCTAAAATGTCTGTTAAAATCAGTCAATGATAGAGTAAAATTCTAACAAAATTATCTTGTTTAAAATTCCAGAAGTTGGACGCCATTAAAATTTTTAAACTAGGGGGAATTTAGGGCATGAAACATAAAAAAAGTAAACATAAGTCACACGTCCATTAGACCATGTCTACACTACCATTAAATAGGAAGTTAAGAGGACCATTGTAATTAGCTTGAAGCATTGCAATGAATTGTTACTTTTAGGTGAAGATTAGAAAAGGTTGTCCATGATTGTTCATTACTATCCCCAGCCACAAACTAACTAATGGAGTTGGCTAGTCTTTATAGAAGATGATCCTATGCAAACATGGCAAGCAAACCTTGGACCATACTACGAAAAAATTCAGTTTAATTCATGCTTGTAAAAAAACTAGCCTTTGTCTAGCCAACATATCTATGAGAAATTATTCAGTGCGGAGGCCGAATGCAAAATGTCATCCGTAGATCAACCAGAATGCGCCACGTCAGTGGTACCGAGCCGCGATATCAAGCGAATGGGTGATGTGGCGCATTCTGATTGATCTCTGGACAACGTTCGACGTCTGCACAGAATAATTAATCTGTATCTATAAGACACTAAATATTTTATATATCCTTAGATGGACCCATAGACGAATGGTCAACAGGTCGGCTACTGGTGGAAAATTAGGTAGTTGACTCAGAATTGGACCAGCCAACTGTTAGATTAGCTACTATTGAATGATTTCAAAATTCACAGATTTTATGTTAAGTTTAATTAACTATAAATAAGTAATAAGAGACAGCATGGTGGATTCTCCATATTGATTTCAATCTTACCTGTTTCAACAATAAAATGAGAGCATACTTGGCTTGGTTCTTTCTTTATTTCAGGTAAGGAACCACTTTCATCAAAATCCTGATTTTTGGACGATGAAATCTGCAGCCATAAATTGGTTGATCTCAATGAACCATTTGGCCTGTGATTTTCATCCAGTTGTGCTTCTACGCCAAGATGTTGAGAGGAAAATGAATAAGCTGTTCCCACCAAGGATGCATCTTCAATAGGTTCATTTAGATCAGCCAAGCAATGGAAAAGGCTTTTCTTTCTATGAGACTCATATTTGTGAGCACCTCCATTAGCACAGCTAACATTTGCTAAAGTAAGCTTTACTTCCTTCTCAGGACCTCCATTGCATTTCCTCGAATAAGGTGTTGCAGTTAGTGATGAAAAATCAATAATCTCTTCCTTCTCTGATCTTTCGGAGCCTTCAGCCTCGATATATACATCAGCTGGGGCTTGCAGATCAAACATCCTATTAGTAGACGCTCTAAAGCTGGCATTTACTTCGCCATCTCTTCCCATAGGTCCATTTTCTAGTGTACCAAAACAAGACTGATGAGTACTAATGGGAGAAACATTTGTATTAGTGACTGTAGTTGTTTCCCTACTCTGGCTACTGCTCAAGGCAGGCTGTTGATAAATTTGCCACATCCTTCCTGTAACTTGAGATTGAGCCTCTGATGAAGATAAACTAGTCTTTGACTTGACTGACCATGAGGAAAATCTGTATAAGCCATTTTTCTGGAACTCCTCCATCAGGTCCTTCTGAATTCTATAAAGGCGATGAAGCTCATAGACCTGGGTCACAAGAAGAAATAATAATGTTAGCCAAGTGGTAAAACAGAAAAAAAGATTAAGCAAATATGAAATCTGATAGGAAATACTTGAGTTCGCAAGCAATCCTAACGGATTTACTTGAGTTCTCAAACAACCCTAGCAATAATTGGTTCAAAACAGCAAGAAAAAACAAGAAACTTGGACAAATCAATCTAGAAACGATAGATTGCGATAGTGGAAACAAAGCAAAGCAAAACTCAAAGCAAGATACAATTGATCCTCAATTCGAGAGGAGGATCGTCTCTCCAAATCTCTAGATTGTAGATCTAGAGCCCAAGACACCAAGGAACTCTCCAAAAGAACAACTCAAATTATGCATGTCCTAACCCTAGCCTCTCATCCTCTTTAAATACATCTTCCTAATTAAAAGCTTCCTAATATAATTTTATTTGAAATTGCTCTCTTGCATGAACCGCCCCCCTCCTCTCTCTCTCTCTAGTTGCCGCCCAAGGAGGTGGGACCCACCCACTTAAGCGGTGGGTTTAAGAGGAGGCGGCTTAGCCCGCCTCCTGTATGTCCGAACCGGCCACTCCTGGGCCGGTTTAGGATGATTCGTAACAAAATCTTTATAAAGAACAGTAAATGATGTATCTACTTCTTTAATACTACAAAAGCTGAATGATACACTTTTTTGTAACCCTATTGCTATGGACACTTTGAACGAGTTTTTTGTAAAGCTCAAAGCATTAACAAACAAATAAAACATAACATATCAGATATTATTAGCAACATAATAATAGTTCATAGACTAATATGTGTAGAACTCATTGAATTGATTAACAAGAAAAGCTAGTCCATTTCCAAAAAAGAAAAAAAAAATAGAGGCGCAAAGCACATCATGTGCAGAGCATACATACCTGTTTTCTGAAAGTGGCCTCATGTTCAAGCATTGTCCGTTTGAGCATTTCTTTGTCATATTCAGAATACCCGTTCAATGAAGTAAACATGCAACCATTGTGAAGATGACCATTCAACAACTTATCGTCATAGAATAAAGGCCAACTGTTTCCTGTGTCGTTAAGGCCTCTCATTGTATAGTATTCTGGAATGTAACTCTTGCAATTCATTTTTTGAACAAATTTCTAGAAAAAAATTCAAATATGTCAATTAAGGAAATTGAAGACGGTCTGAAGGCATTCTCTAAGAGACTCCAGAAAAAAAAAACAATAAAAACTGTAGTTAACCATATTTCTCCATTAAAAGTCATATGAGATTGAATATTCTAATTCTGCAACTTGATAACAACAAAAAGGAAGTTGTTCAAAATAAATCCAGTCATAGTTACTTGTTGAAGATCCCTTATCACGCCAAAAGAACAATGGGCTGTTTGAAAGAAATAATAAAAGTTCAAAATAGTAATTCAATAGGGTAGCTTCTACCCATTCTCTTGCCCATTCTCTTACCCCAAGCTCTAATCCTGCCACCACACTACATCAACCAATCAAACAAAAGAATATTAAATGAAGTATGTGGATTCTCATAACAAATTAAATAATAATTTCAAACATGGTGCATATAAATCCCTCGATTAATAATTGGGTTAAGTTTGCATAAGCCATTAATGGTTTTAGTGCGAAAGCAAGTCAATCCACACACGACCCATCAACTTCTTTTGACATCCTTTTCACACTAAATATGCGATGAACACGTGATCTCGTAGCCTTCTGACATTTCTAGTGCCAAATCCAAGATATTTGATACTAAATCACCCTACAATTATCATTACACGGCTCCACAAGGACTATACCATCGTGCACCATATCTAACAAGAATCAACCAAGGTATACACATGTTTAATAAACCGTCGACTCCCTAGCCAAATACTAGCATTACATCGAATAAACCAGAACATATTTAGCTCTAGGTTAATTGGGCATTTTCATGGATATTTAGACCCTTGAACACAAATCAGAAATAAACACATTTTACTCAGATTATAAATATACAGAGCCAGAGATGATTATTGAGGGAGCTTCAAGCTACATTGCCAATTCATATTTTGCTCATCAAAAGTTCAGCATAAAGGCCAAACTAGAATTTGAAAATGAGACTAATGTCAGACATCATGTTTGTGCTCCTATTATAACTATCAACAATTTAGAGAAAACAAACAAGACTATCCTTGTTGACACTAACAGAAGTTTCTTCGTTCCATTCTGGTACTTTTGCCTGTCCCAAAATAGAATCACCTATCATAATGTGCAATGGAAAAGCTAATTCAAGAATTATAGACAGTAATTTATATGGTTAATCAAAGAAAATAGATGATGAGTGACATGTGAGACATATTTAAGAAATATTAAAAGATGTCAAAAATGCCAAAAAAAAAGTTAAATCGTCTCCTCTTAATAAACAAATAAAGCTAACAATAGAGGAAAACCTCAGGCATGCCCAGCTTAGACATGAAAGATAAGATAATTAAAGAAAAAATACTTTTTATAGGGGAAAACAAAGAAAGAAGTACTAAAATATCGCTGGAAACATCACATTGCAAAAGGAAATATAACTAAGGTTACTCAAAACAATCAACCTAAAGAAACCTGTTAACCTTCATATAACACCCAAAAGAAGATGAAATCAACGACCAAAAATAATCCTCGTATCCATCGAAAAGTCGCCCGAAATCCCGCAAGAAATCCCTTTTTATTACATATACTACACCGAAACACATAGTTTGTTTAATCAATGATTTACGATGGCGTCCTAACCACAAACTGCACATGAATCTTTTATTTTGGAATTTAATTCTAAGCTATCTATTAAGTCCTTGGAAAGACAAGTCTGGTTACTTTCTAAACCAAGCAGTCTTAAGACACTCCTAGGCATGAAAGCTTGCTTACCAAGGTTGCATAATCATTAGAAGCATTAATAGTACCAACGAAATCAGTGATAACCACATTATTAACATTCTGTTTTTTATAATAACCCAAATAAAAGTGAAATAAAGAAACAACTTCATCATGCGTAAAATATCACTAAGGCTTCATTTGGAGAGTTTGCGTCGGATATGTTATACTATGTTGTATGAAACAAATAAACGACTCGACAAGTGTATTCTCGATGGTGGTAAAGCCATAGAGAGTGCGAATGCATGGGATAGAGATTTCTTTGGATGCTTCACATAAAAATAAAATTTGTGACATACTTAATTTACGAAATGATGAAGCTAAAATAAAGTTCAATAGCAAAGTTTTTGTATATATTGCCTAAATGTATTTTGTTCAACTCTAGCGAGAAAATGTCCATTTCATTTCTATCAGGTTATTAAATCTAAACTGGTTGAGAAAGAACCTCAATCATTCAACAAAAATAAAACCGCGATGCTACAAAGAGAAACAGATTCAGCTTAACAAGATGAAAAAAATGCATGTTTAAGCAAGAATCAGATTACCCTGTCAAGAACGAAAAATCAACCTGCAGAGTTTTCCTATTAGATTCTGTCAGTGCAACTAGTTTGCATCCTGCATAATCTGAAGCAAAACATCCAAACAGAAGCACAGCTTTGTGGAACGCAATTCAGATGTTTCTGCAGTAGCCCAAATTAGAATTTGCAACTGGAAGGAGAACAAGATGAGACATTTAAGTTCAGCAATTGAAACAATGGCACAAGCATTCCAACCATTGTGTTACCTAAAATAACCCAGCATAATATCTAGTCATTAAAGAAAACAAATCAATAAATAAAAGCATTACAATGCATGGACAATCAATCAATAAATGCACCAAATGTTGACATCATTAAGAAAAATAATGTTCCCAAATTGTAAGTGACATCATTAAGAACAATAACTCTTAATAATTCTACAATTACCCAATAACTCTTAATAATTCTACAATTACCCTAGAAATTCATGATGGGCTAGATAACTAATTGAGAGCTTACTAACCCAAAAATAAAATCGCAAGCAAATCCCTCCTTGGCGAGTGACAGTGGGGTTGAGCAGAACCCAGCAAAAGCAACAAAACCAAGTAAATTTGAGAAAAATCGAAGGTTAATTCCTCCTTAACGAGATACAATAGCAATGAAAGGAACCAAGCAAAAGTAATTGAACCAAGCCGAATCCAAAGAAACTAATGGCAATGCTATGCTTGGCAAGAACGGTGGCGACGGGCAGAACCCAATGGAAGCAACGAAATCAAGCAAAAACAATAAGAACATTGGGCAAATCTCCACTTGTCAAGAGACAATGATGACAAGTGGAACCAAGTGAAAGCAAGGAAACCAAACAAAATTGAAGAAATGGATGAAAAATCCCTCTTACATGAGATGATAGCAATGAATAGAACCAAGCAAAATATCCATAACTAGAGACCCAACAATAACACTGAAAAGAACTATTGTGCCTCCAACAATAGAACGATCGCCCATGAATGAGGAGAAGATGGAGGAAAGGGAGGCTCTTATACAAAATTAGAAACCATAAGAGACTACATCTTTACTTGATTAAATTTGATGCTTAAAGAAACATGCTTATATGAATGCAAGAAAAGAGAAAAATAAATGAGAATATCCTCAATAATGAGTATAGGTTGCAATAATAAATATTATAAATGCTCATATATGACAATATTGATAAGATAATATCTTTAAGCATAATAAGTTAATAACTATAATAATTCTAACAGAAAAAAATACATCATTCACAGAATATCAAATATTTTCAAATCCAGCCACAAGATAGAAAATTTAACCCAACACATTAAAACTCCGGACCAAATCCATACATCAGATTGAAGCTGAAAAACAACGGATTTGGAAGGTAAAAAGTAAGAATCTTTAGCTCAATCACATAAATTGTTAAATGCTAATACCTAAAAAGTGGAAATGAAGAGTCATCTGAGTAATAATCCAAACTAAATAACAAAAATCACACCAGATACATCCCAAATTGCATCAGAGAACTATTAATGTCAAATCTCGCAAAACCCACCAATACGATTACCTCAACCTGCATCCTCTCACTGCAAACGAAGCCCGCTGCCGCGGATTCTTCATCACGACCATGACCGGAAAGAAGAAGAACCCAAAAGCCCGAAGCCCTCCTTCCATGGAGATCAAAGAAGTCCGCTTCTTCAAAGCTCCGAAGAAGGAAGAAAAAGGGAAGATGTCGAAGAAGACTATAACAAACGCCGAAGGAGTTGAAATTAATGGAATATTTCCAATGACAAGAGGCTTGAGATTTTCATCAGATTGGGGGAAGAATCGTTACTTACAGCGAGAAGAAAATCTCCTCTCTCTCTCTCTCTCTCTCACTAGAAAGAACGACCTTCTGAGAAATGTGACAGGAAATTTGTCAACATCCGGTCTTCTAATTCCATGCCTTTTTCCCCCTCCTAGCTTTGATTTCCACATCGAATTTCCTGCTCTCATTTCCTTTATTGGCCATTTGGCCTTGCGAGGCAATAAAAATGACATTTTTTTTAATTTTTATACGCTCTCATTTGCCTCTTCTCATCATTCCATCTCCACCCTTTCTTCTCTTCGGATCTTCATCTCGCTTATTTTATTATATTATATTATTTTTATTATTTGCATATAATAATATTCTATGTAAATGTAATCTTGAGTTTTTTATCATTGAACTCATTTTTATGACGATTACCAACAAAATAAAATAACTACAAAAGACTTTTTTTTTTAAATAAATTAAAAAAAAATTCTTTTAAAAAAGGGGGCTCATTTTCTTTTAATTTGAGGAGATAAATCAAAACGGAAGATTTAGCTATTAATCATTAGCAATGATTAATCCGTTGGGACTTTAAATTGGTTAATATTTTAAAGAATTTAATATTATCTTACAAATAGTATAATATTAATAAATGAAAGAATACGTTAATATTAATTGATTAATATTTTAAATTTCATTCTTAAATGATAAGTATTTTATTTATCTTAAATAATATAATTATTTTATAAATATTGTTATATTAAATTAACATTATAATATCACTTATATAATGTCATAACTTTACATGTATTTTTCCCAATATTATGCGAATATATATTATTTATATTATTATATTTCGGAGCTTTTACATATAAAATATCTAAAATTATTGTAATTACATACATAACACCTAAACTATACCATTCATTTTAACTATTGTAAGTACATACAAAACACCTATATTATTGTAATTATGCCATCATCGTTGTGAGTCACTGGTTTAGAACGCCCACAGCGATTTGCCGCTTGCTTCAAAACAAGAAGATTTGCCACCCGCTTCAATTTGAATTTGGGTTGGTTCACTGAGTTTCATGAAGGGCGCGAGAAAGGGTCGGGATGGGGTTTTTGACAAGAGTCAACAGAGTGGTATTTTACATGAGTGGAATTGTATTTATGTGGTATAAAAGTAAATAATATAGTTTGGATGTTAGATATGTAAATAATGCTCAAAGCAGTTAATATTATCCAAACATAATCTGAAACAGGTTTAAACCTTATTTATCTCATATATATCATATATGATAATATTATATTTCACTTAGTGATATATTTTTATATAATACATTGATATTATGTGGTTTGACTGTGCAAGTTTATATTAATAATTTATAAAGGAAATCATGTTCATGATATGTCAAGTCTTATTTTTTACTATTATGTCATAGTCATATGTCCTTTCCTATCATATTCAAGTCTCTTGATGATCATATTCTTATGTAATAGGTCTAATACTTTGATTTCCACATTCAATTGTAGCCACAAGTGTATCAGTACAATTTGGTCTATCTACATCGGCCAACAATATTCTTTTGACAACCCATGCACTCCATTTAACGAAAAATTATTGCGTCCTCCCACCTGACGTAGAGATGCGTTCTCCCAGAGCTAAAATCGCACTAAAAAACAAGAAATATCAAGCAAATACCTAGCAATACCAAACAATAACGAGGAATATCATCATGTGAAGACCAATACCGAGTTATACCGAGCTATACCGAGCAATACCGAGCAATACAAAAAAATACCTAATTTTTCCTAGAGAAAACTCGGTATGTGCTCGGTATTGCTCGGTATAGCTCGGTATAACTCGGTATTGGTCTTCACATGATGATATTCCTCGTTATTACCAAATAATACCTAGCAATACCGAGCAAAAACCTAGTTTTTTGGCGGTGGGAGGACGCATCTCTACGTCAGGTGGGAGGACACAATAATTTTTCCCATTTAACCCACACAAATCCAATTGAGAAAAATTATTTTTTGCGGACGCCGAATGTTGTCCGGAGATCAATCAGAATGTGTCATGTCACCCTCGCTCAATACCGTGGCTCTTTACTACTCGGTATCGCGCACTGATGTGGTTGCACCTGATTCGTTTCCGGACGTAGAACTGCGTACATCATACACACAGAATAATCTCTCCCCATTTGATTGCTAATCCTAGATGCTTACATCTAGTAAGTCAGCTCTGCTAGCTTCATCATGTTGGCTTCACTTTCAACAAGCCTCTTTCTAACGACCTATTTGTCGTGCAAGATACAAAGAAGGTCATCTTCAAGGTCTTCAAAATCCTACCAATTGGCTTCCTCACTATTTCTCTTCATTCCTCACTGTTCTAGCCAACAAGCTAGTTTTGTTCATCCATTATGATCTATCACATCATTAAATATAATTCATTATGTCGTTCAATACCTAATTGACACCTTCATTATAACCCTTTTCTTCCTTAATTGGAGAGACATGCATTGTAATTTCTTTTTAACTATAAGAAATTTTATTGATCCCCCCATCTTTTTGAACTAAAATATTACGATTACCTCTTTTTTTCTCTCGCTATTTCTCTTACGTTATATTTATCTATCTATCTACCTATTTCTAGTTTTATGTGTCCATTCATCTATCCCCTCTAATAGAAGTACTTCAACTCCACAGCCCAACCCTCTCTCTCTCTCTCTCTCTCACTCTCTCTCTCTCTTCTTAAATGCTACATTTAGTGTTTAAAAATGAAATAAATTCACAATAAAAACATAATGACATTCATAAAATAATTTACTAATGGTAATAGAAATTTGATCATTAATCTATGTAAGTCAAAAGAAGAGTCTATTGTTATCATCAAAACGAAAATTCCTCTATGAAGTCCTTTAAATAACAAAATAGAACTTATTTAAATATTTGGTCAAAAGATGGTTTGATCTTTCCATGTTCCTTTATGGATTGAACTAATTTGTGAAAAGCATGGTCCATAAGTAGTGGTCCCATGACTCCCATGATCACAAGCCATGGTCATGGAAAAGGCATGCATGGCATGCATGTCCCATTTAAGCTAGCTAATTAATGTGGAGGGAGTTTTAACTTGTAAGATGAATTGCTCTTCTCTCCCTCGTGTTTTAATTACTTCTTATTTGATGGTCCATTATCATTAAAAATAAGCCATGGTCCTATTTGATGCTTATGATGACTAAGATTAACTCCTTGCCAAATGCTTTTTCATTCATGAGATATTCTCTTTGTTTCAAAGATTAAACCTTTTTTTGCTACAAGGTGTGGTTAAGTGGATTAACAATGAAAAGAAAAGTTAATAGAAATTTAATGAAAGAGATTAGGGATAAGAGAGCTTTGCAATACAAAAAAAAAATGAAATAAAAAATAATTAGAAAATTTAGTATGATATTTTAAATGAAAATATATTGTATATACTTCTATATCATGTCTATAATTAGGATATATATATATATATATATATA